TCTATGGGCAGTGTTGAGTCTGTGGGCAGTGCTGAGTCTATGGGCAGTATTGAGTCTATGGGCAGTGCTGAGTCTATAGGCAGTGCTGAATCTATATGCCATATTGAGTCTATGGGCAGTATTGAGTCTATGGGCGGTGTTGAGTCTATGGGCAGTGTTGAGTCTATGGTGCAGTGTTGAGTCTATGGGCAGTGGTGAGTCTGTGGGCAGTGCTGAGTCAATTGTGCAGTGTTGAGTCTATGGTGCAGTGTTGAGTCTATGGGCAGTGTTGAGTCTTGGTGCAGTGTTGAGTCTATGGGCAATGTTGAGTCATTGGTGCAGTGTTGAATCTATGGGCAGTGTTGAGTCTATTGTGCAGTGTTGAGTCTATGGGCAGTGTTGAGTCTATGGGCAGTGTTGAGTCTATGGTGCAGTGTTGGGTCCATGGGCAGTGTTGAGTCTATGGTGCAGTGTTGAGTCTATGGGCAGTGTTGAGTCTATGGTGCAGTGTTGAGTCTATGGGCAGTGTTGAGTCTATGGTGCAGTGTTGGGTCCATGGGCAGTGTTGAGTCTATGGTGCAGTGTTGGGTCCATGGGCAGTGTTGAGTCTATGGTGCAGTGTTGAGTCTATGGGCAGTGTTGAGTCTATGGTGCAGTGTTGGGTCCATGGGCAGTGTTGAGTCTATGGTGCAGTGTTGGGTCCATGGGCAGTGTTGAGTCTATGGTGCAGTGTTGAGTCTATGGGCAGTGTTGAGTCTATGGTGCAGTGTTGGGTCCATGGGCAGTGTTGAGTCTATGGTGCAGTGTTGGGTCCATGGGCAGTGTTGAGTCTATGGTGCAGTGTTGAGTCTATGGGCAGTGTTGAGTCTATGGTGCAGTGTTGGGTCCATGGGCAGTGTTGAGTCTATGGTGCAGTGTTGGGTCCATGGGCAGTGTTGAGTCTATGGTGCAGTGTTGAGTCTATGGGCAGTGTTGAGTCTATGGTGCAGTGTTGGGTCCATGGGCAGTGTTGAGTCTATGGTGCAGTGTTGGGTCCATGGGCAGTGTTGAGTCTATGGTGCAGTGTTGAGTCTATGGGCAGTGTTGAGTCTATGGTGCAGTGTTGGGTCCATGGGCAGTGTTGAGTCTATGGTGCAGTGTTTGGTCCATGGGCAGTGTTGAGTCTATGGTGCAGTGTTGAGTCTATGGGCAGTGTTGAGTCTATGGTGCAGTGTTGGGTCCATGGGCAGTGTTGAGTCTATGGTGCAGTGTTGGGTCCATGGGCAGTGTTGAGTCTATGGTGCAGTGTTGAGTCTATGGGCAGTGTTGAGTCTATGGTGCAGTGTTGGGTCCATGGGCAGTGTTGAGTCTATGGTGCAGTGTTGGGTCCATGGGCAGTGTTGAGTCTATGGTGCAGTGTTGAGTCTATGGGCAGTGTTGAGTCTATGGTGCAGTGTTGGGTCCATGGGCAGTGTTGAGTCTATGGTGCAGTGTTGGGTCCATGGGCAGTGTTGAGTCTATGGTGCAGTGTTGGGTCCATGGGCAGTGTTGAGTCTATGGTGCAGTGTTGGGTCCATGGGCAGTGTTGAGTCTATGGTGCAGTGTTGGGTCCATGGGCAGTGTTGAGTCTATGGTGCAGTGTTGGGTCCATGGGCAGTGCTGCTTAATGTACGGGGGAAGTTTATTCCAGTTGTAGGGTGCAAGGAGTGAGAAAGTTCGGAAACGAGACTGTGCACACAGAGAAGGAAGGAGAGAGAGAGAGAGAGAATGAATGTATCTACTCATGCGACCATATAAGTACCGCATATACTCGTACGACAATATTCATCATGTTTAAGTAGTGACAATATATTTAAGAAATAACTGACAATTGTTACGCCGAGCAATCTCCCCTCTGCAACTTCATAAAACAGTTTGCCACCAATTTGCAGGATACGACTAACCAAATAAGACACGCTATTATCCTCCGCCATTGATAGCTAAATCAACCACGGCGTGAAACCTAATGCTCGCATTCTGAAAGCAACAGCTTGCAACGCTCGTGCGTTTTATACACCAGGGACTACACACAGAGTCAACGCGCCTCTGGAAGCTTTAACAAGCTGTTGGGTCTCATTCATTCATTCATAAAGACAGACGTTCAGGCAGTCACAGCTGTCTCCATTAAAGTAAACACGGACAGCCCTGGCAATCCGTCAATTCGCTGCATCAATCATATATGACGTGGGGTGACAAGAGACGTTCTTACCCACCGTGTTCCCCTCGGCACCCTTCACTGGCACCATTGCCTCCTCAGCCACCCTCCTTCCATTCTACTCCGAGCACCCAATCACAACAAATCTCTGAATCACACACACGCGCCCACACTTTGACCGTGCATAGCAAAATCTTCTTGAACATTTGGCCACGCTTTTCTGCAGGTAGAAGTTTGGCTTGCAAGTTATTCGTGAAATGCCGCTTATGACGGATATGATGACCGTTTTCGGATTAATTAGGCCTACGATGGTCTGAAGGAAATATCATTTCGGGTTGATCCTAAAACATGATGTTCAAGGAAGTGACATCACGTATGCGTTTTGTTCCTCCAAAAGTGCCATTAAGTGACGGTGCTTTTCGTGCCCAATTACCCGCGCACCATCCAGCCAGGCAGGAATCCAGGCAGAAAATCAGCCAGCAAAACTTTCCCCCCATAATATCGTTTAATTTAGGGCCAGTAATTACGTAACTACAAGAAGAGAAAAATCACGTTTTTTTGTTTTACAAAAACAGTGTTTAGGGCATGTTATTTACGTGTCTCCCACGCAGGCTGCAACGATTGAAGCCCCCTCGACAAAGTTGGCAAAACTCGCGTTAACGTCCTTGTGGTTTGCGGCAAAAACTACACGACCAAATTTCATAAGACATCGTGGGGGGGCCTCGTCTCCAGAGAGACAACATAGCTGCCAAATGGAATCGAGATTCGACTGTTCTCATTTACGCTATTTGTTCGGTAAAAAAACGATCGTCTTTTTGCTTAAATTGCCGACGCACCAATAACTATACTGCAACATAATGGCCGTCCAACAATCGCACTTATATAAACATGCAAATAATTTGCAGTCATTTTGTCAGTTCACTGCCAGTCATATCGTGGGGGTTGTTTGACCCTACTTCACCATGCCACTCAGTGGGGCCGGTTGGTGAAAAGGGGGCCCAAAAATGGGTCAGATATCACTCGCCACAGATGTTAACTTGTGGCCGGAAATTAATCTCATGTTGCAATGTTCATAGGGCCACCCGCATCCCGTATCGTGACAGCCACGTGTAGTCAGATTCCTCTTACAAAGCGTGCACTTACTCATGCATTACGTTTTGTGTTTAAATTTAAGAATACATTCACAAAGGAGGAATCGATGGTGTCATCCGTTTTCGGTTCATGTGAACAAAGGCGTGTCTCGACTCGTCTCAATGGGGGAGGGATGGAGGAGGAGTTAATTTGTTTACATAGGACCTTACACACATACACAGTCATTCATTGTAAGATTGCATTGTTACATCTACCGTATTACGCTGATTAATTAAAAGACGCACATTTCACCCCTCCCTGTATTTTAAAGGAGCTTTGGCGGTGCGTCTTATAATCCGGTAGCTGTACGCGTGTGTGTGTGGACCGGCACGGGTTTGTGCGTCTGATTATCCTGAGAATACGGTCTCAGTCATCGCATTACTTCTGCAGTTCTGAAAAGTAACTCTGCTCTCTCGCCGCGTGGTGCGTGTCAGTGTGTGTGTGTGTGTCAGTGTGCACGCGAGGCCACCCAGTGCGGTGTGTAAACACAAAGACGGCCGGGCGTGGGGCTGGCTACCCACCCCCTTGTGGGCCCTGCCGATTTTACTAAGCACTTGCCCCAACAGTTTGTTAAAGGCCATATTATGGGGGGTTAGGTGGGGGTCTTTGTGTGAGTCACGTGTAAGTAGGATGTGACACACATTAGGCACCTGATTTAAAAAAATCGGACTGCATCTCCCTGAGCGTAACCCTGCGATGCTGTTTCGGAAGAAAAAAAAACACCAATTATGTGGCCCCTTCACATTTTAGAAATTAAAAAAAGAGCATTGGATTAATGATCATGACCCTTCTTCTCTGCGATCACTGTGCGAGGCAGGCAGTGATGGAGCGGCCGCAACACACGGCTGCTTGCTGTGCGTTGCGAGCGTTGTGGGTTTTTTTTCGCTGGCCCGGGCTAATTGATCCCACGCGTGTGCGGATCGCAAGGCGGTGGTGGAGGGTTCATGGGTACAGTGCGCACACATTCCTGCACACAGCCGTTCAGCTCGTTGCATCACAGACGCTCTCAGTCACCGCCGACCACTTGCAGTGGTGTGTGGGGCGTAACATTAAGGGCTCGGAAGGTAGACGCATTGGTGAAAGAGGGTAAAATAAACAGTGTACCCAGCGGGTCACACACACGAGACAAAGACCCCCGTGTGGCATTAACAGACTGTTGGGGCAAGTGCTGTTAGCGAGCACCTATGGAGCCCGGCACGACACACGGCGGGGTGGGTGGCCAACACCACGCCCGGCCGCCTTTGTCTCCCCAGTGGCAATGTTTAAACACGGCGTACTAATTTTAGGCTGAGTATACCTTAGGGAGGCCCGGGACCGGTTCAGGTAATCGTCATTGGTGTTGGCCGTGAGCTGGAATTGAGTTCGTAACGCGGCATAGCGGTGACCGCTACATTACCGCCCACGTGTACACACGCCCACGTGTACACACACACGCACACGTGTACACGCCCACGTGTACACACACACGCCCACGTGTACACACACACGCCCACGTGTACACACACACATACACACGTGTACACACACACGCCCACGTGTACACACACACACACGTGTACACATGAGTTGCTCTGTCTGACTAAGCACATACGTGTACACACACATGCCCACGTGTACGCACACGTGTACACACACATACACACGTGTACACACACGCCCACGTGTACACATACACACGTGTACACACGAGTTGCTCTGCCAGACTAAGCACAAACACACACGCGTGTACACACACACGCACACGTGTACACACACACGTGTACACGCACACGCGGTGCTCCGGATGTGACGGCAGTGGCCGGGCTGGGTCTCGAGAGGGGAATGGACTGGGGCGAGCCCCGACCACGACGATGCCCCCCCCCCCCCCCCCAGACGCAGCCTCAGCGCCGTGAGTTGTGCAGTGGGGGGGCGAGAGACGCAGAGAATTCGCGAGGCTGCTGCTGCTGCTACGGCTCCCCTCCACTGCGGCTCTTCAACTCCAGTATCATCAACAACAACAGCAGCAGCAGCAGCTTGCCAACACAAAGGTCCCAACCTCTTCGTTCACAAGTGTTTTGTTAGCGAGCTCCTGTTAAGGCGAGCGGGGTCCACAAACCCCGGAGTCGGGCTGGGTGGGAGCAGCAGCATCAGCATCAGCACGCCCAGAGGAGGAGGCACACGGGGGGGGGGGGGGGGGCAGACAGGGACACGCCAGGCAGACAGGGGCGGTGAGAGAGACCAGTGGCAAGACGAGACGGAAGCGAAGCAAAGTTTAAGATCGGGAGTTGTTGTCATCGCTCTGAGTCACACAGCAAGAGGCGGTCACGGAATGAACGCGGCTCGGGTTCACGCTTGAGACGACGTCGTAGAAGTCTCGAAGCTCTGTCCGAAGTGTGACTTGGGAGAGCCCTGCCTTGATTGATGTACAGGTGAGTCGTCTCCTACCTGAAGTTTATCTACGTCGAAGTTATTTGTCGTCACTGTTGTTATTTAATGGAACGTGCTCAATGCTGCTGTGTTGCTGCGTTAAAGGTTTGGATGCTCTTCTGTTGTGCCGTGTGTGTGTCATGCCGTGTGTGTGTCATGCCGTGTGTTGTGTGTGTGTCATGCCGTGTGTGTGTGTTGTGTGTGTCATGCCGTGTGTGTGTGTTGTGTGTGTGTCATGCCGTGTGTGTTGTGTGTGTGTGTATCACGCCGTGTGTGTTGTGTGTGTCATGCCGTGTGTGTCATGCCGTGTGTGTGTGTTGTGCGTGTCATGCCATGTGCTGTGTGTGTTATGCACAGGCGAGTTACATCTTGTGTCCAGAATGCGCCAGGTTGTATGGCCAGGCTGTGTGTCGTACACCCTCCTCCACCCGACACACACACACATGTTCATACACGCTGGTGCTGACGTGACTCAACACGCCCCCCCACCCACACAACACTCCTCCCCACACAACACGCACCACCCCCCCACACACAACACGCACCACCCCCCCACACACAACACGCACCACCCCCCCACACAATACGCACCACCCCCCCACACACAACACGCACCACCCCCCCACACACAACACGCACCACCCACACACACAACACGCACCACCCCCCCACACAATACGCACCACCCCCCCACACACAACACGCACCACCCCCCCACACACAACACGCACCACCCACACACAACACGCGCACGTGTGGACCGCTGTCCCAGCGTGACCGCTGTGCCCAGCTCGTCACGCAGCTCACTCGGCAATGTGACAGCACGTGTGTGTCTGGCCGTGTCGGGTGGAGGAGGGTGGACGACACACACACACATTTCACTCCGAGACCCAGAAAAAATCTATGTAAATTATGAATCTTACATAGTATTTGTCGCTAAGAGTCTTATCGTACTTTATGTACGTGTGTGTGTGGTATTATTATTATTTGTCAATTATGTACAGCACAAGGTGGATAATGCTGCCAGTTTCTGTAAGTACATAATGGGTGTGTCATTGTAAGGGCAGTTATGTTTGCGTTTGATGTAAATGAGTGTTGTTGTTTAAGTACAGAACTGTACAAGTTCACGTGTTATATATTACATACGCTCTGATTTACGTGTTATTTTATTTATGTATATCTGCGTGTTGGGTTTCATGTTATGGTGCACCTCCGATTAGCGCGGTTGGCTGACGTACGGTGCGAAAGAGGTCCAGCACACACGTTATGGTACACTGCGTCAGAGCGGTCAACCCATGCGGATTACTCGCATTCTTGTCCAGGGAAATTGAGTTTTGAGGTCCATACGGCGTACAACTGTTTCAATAGGGCAACAACAACAACTGTTGTTTGTCTATTTGTTTGTATTTTTCCTTTGTGATGGGACGCTGGAGGATGGACGGCGTGATCAATACGGTCTAATATTTGTCTGTAATAGGGTAGAGACTGATAAGGGGTTGACAGGTTTGGTGTGTATACACAAGCACCGTGTCATAGTATTGTGTTGGTGTCTTATTCGGGGTTATTGATGAGTGTGTTGTGATCTTGTACAGGCATGCACGGGGATGTTGTCTTACAGGTGTGCTACGCGTTCGAGGAAGGCACGTCGCTTGTTGTATCCTGCGTTGGGGTCTTTTCTGCATGGTGCTGAGCATGTTGTGTGTTGAATTGGGATGCATTTTCCCATAAACTCCTCTTATCCGTGAGTTAAACTGCAGATAGTAGAGCCAATGAAGTATTGTCAAGCGGTGTCTGTAGGGGGTTGGGGTGGAGTCTCTAGCACGAGCTTATTTTGGTGTTTTCACCACGGTACGGGAGGATGTGGAGCTGAGTGGACTTGATCGGCCTCTGTGGAGGAGGCTCGTGAAGGACGCTGCTACTGGGCAGCTGGAGGCAGTCGCCCTCTAGCAACAACGGAGGACAGAAGAGCGACGCTCACAACAACGAGCGGAGCGCTGGGTGGATAAAATACAGAAGTTGGCACAGTAGGGGGCACAGCTGCTGCATCTCCCAGTCATCTCAGTCGGCCAACCCATGGCACCCGGGTCTGTCCCGAGACCTGCTGCCAGCGAGTCTTCGACACTTTACGTGGCCTCAAAGTGCACCTAGCCTGGCACAGGCGCCGTGGTGACGTCACCGCCACTTGGTGGCGAAAGGCGGGGTATTGGTATTAGGGGTGGAGTGAAAAAAGGGGACCAATCAGAAGTGAGGACCAACGCGGATTATGGGATGAGATTATGGGATGAAATTGTATCTGGGATCAAAACAATTTGTGAATAATGATCGGAGGAAACTGGAATGCTGCGATTCTGCTATCTACAGGTGAACATTCTATGCATACGGACATCCGTGTCCTGTCCCTGGGGTCGTGTGCACTGCACAGGCCGATGACATAACTAAAATAATAACAAAAACATTTTTTACACCGCTATTTTTGTCCAAAAATGTGGTCGTCTCTAACAATGTTGGCAGTGTCCAGACAGCCACAACGCACCCACGGTGGCTGCGCCCCTCCCTTGTGAGTCACCACATGTCGTCACGTGTGCGTCATCACATGTCGTCACGTGTGGCTGTGTTTTATACAGCGGCACGTGGTCATCACATGTCGTCACGTGTGGCTGTGTTTTATACAGCTGCACTGCCATTCGTTGCGCACAGTCCCGCACCGAGGTGTCCCTTGAACAGGAGTTGCATGACACACCGGTGATTGTGCACGTTGCAGAAATTGAGCTTCTAAGTTGCACGTTTGTGGATCTCGACAGCGAGTGGCATTAACGCTTGACCACTCATCAGGTTCTTCATTGTTGCTGCCCCCACAATGCAAGTGGGTAGGGATTGTTGTCCAGATCACTCCGCGTGAATGCCACCGACAGTATGCCACTGCACATGGAGATGTCTGTAACTGCATATTAAGGACATTAAACACATCTTCATAATTTTAACACGTGTCAATGACAAATCTTCAAAGACCTTTAGTATTTTTGTTATGAACTGTTATATATCATCATTTATGTGACGTGGCCCAGCAGTAGCGCATTCTCTGCTTGTCGCAGAGCTTGGCGGTTCGAGCCAACCGGCCACCCTGGTTAATACCAGGGCAGGTACAAACCATTAAATACTACGTGAAGTCCACTTCACAGTGGACGTTAAAGATCCCCTGACGTAATTCGAAACTCCGGTAAATCTCCAATAATTATCTGCGGCAATATTGGGGGTGGGGTGGAACCGTATCGCAAAACCCGCGGCACGCTGCGGGAGATCCATCATCCATTAAAAGTCACACCGCCACGGTGTGCTCGGATTAGGGGAGGGATTTGCCGACTCCATCAGCAAAAATATTGTAGCATGGGCACGGAACTAGCAGCTAAATTAATTCGCGATAAACTTGTGGATTCCGAGGTTATGCATTTTTCTGAGACCCAAATGGCATGAATCTGCCATATGGGTTTGTGTTAGGTCATAAGTTACAGGAGTTCACGGATTATAAAAGCTCAGACTATTGTAGTTCTGCTGTCGTAAGCCATTGTGTGATAGCGTCATCGTCCAAATATTGACAAATTCGAAACATTACCCACAAATTAATGAATTGGAATTACGTACAGCAATCATTGACCCCTACTGGCAGACGACGAATGCCAGTTTGCAGGCCAGGTGCCAAGTCACTTTGTACCCACAGGGACAGCTGCCACTAGGGGTGCCCTTCCACATATGAGAAATGATGCAAGTCGCTTATCTTGTGTAAAGCACTCTGCGACATCCCGATGTTTCAGGCGCTATATAATTTTTTTCATCAAATTACTTTGAGAAAACATACATGGAGGAGTTTGAGTCACCTTTTGACTGGCTGCATAGTCAAAAGGTGAAGGTGAAGTGTCTGTATATTGGTGGGAGCAATGGAGCAGCAATCTTGAGCCAGTGATGACAATTCCACATTCCCATGGTGGGGTGTTGTTGAATCTCCATGGGCCAGTGACTTGATTAGAAGATTTACCACAACGGGGTACGCATTTTATTGACCTGGACAGATAATTAACGAACTGAATGAATTCAAAACCTTGTTTGTGAGGCCAGGACTCTTAACTGCAGAGCTACCAACTAGATGAGTGTATGCTATATACTCATAATAATGAATGGAATGGAGCAGCGTCACATAGCGTGCTGCGCGATGAACATGGTGACCTGAGATCAATTTGTGACCAATGCTAATCAGAGATGAGTGATTTCTGAGCCAGTCCCACACTGATCCAATAATGGCGAGGTTTGATAAGTCAAAATAAAACAACCCATGACCAACACAACAAGGCTTTCATTGCGCAGTGGATTTTGCTAAAGGGCTGTAAATAATTTTATACTCCTATTCATTATAAAAAGTGGCAAATATTTCCTCTTGGCAAATTGGCCCCGGGAATGTGCCCAGTTTTTAATGCAGGTACAATTACTCAATTTATTGCAAGGGACTGAGGAGGGGAGGCTTTGCTATTTTATTACAACCGCTGTCACATAATGGGGCTGCTCTTGTGAACATGGTGAACGTGCGGTATTTTATGTCAACACTCGCTAAGCAGATGGGGCCACGCGGTTGATAACTCTGCACCGTAATTACGAATTACACGTTGTCAGGACGTTAGAGGGGGCGGGGGGGGCCACAGCGTAATGAGGCATCCGTATTAACGCTGCAGTCAAGAGCTGCCTTGGCCCACGGGCAAAACCAGCAGCTGCATAGAATGTAATGGATTGGGCAGCACCTGAGTGGTGCAGAGGAACACTGATGCATAATTATTAGGTGAACCACTTAATGATGGGCCCAGTCAAATCCCTGGCAATGGGTTTGAATATTGACTTGAGTTTATTATTATTATGGGTTTACATACCGATCACTATGGTGGTGTACAAAGGATGATTAAGGAATTCCATGGCCTGACTTGCAGGAGTGGTTCTAACAACACAATCTATATGTTATGTAAAAGTACGTAATTGTTTTCAAAGTTCACCGGGTCGTTTTTAAGGATAACCAACTGTATTGGTGATGAAGTTAATGTAATGTTTTGCAAGCAGTTTAAATCACTTCCCAGTGTTGGTGTGAGAGTTGAGGAATTCAGACAGCTTGAAAAATGCAGACAAATCTGATGAAAAATATTTGGAAAATGTATCCTCACTAGACATGGCTTTTCCACAGTTAATGTATGTCTTAAAGATAAACCAGTGTCTTAATTGGCATGTTAATTATTTCTGCTGGGAATGAGTGGTCTGAGGAAAATACACATCTGATGAGTAACCTAAATTATTCTGGGCAGGGGTTCGAGCCTTGGAACAATTATGAAAAGAGTGATTTAGACTACGGAGGTACAATGTAGACATAAATCCAGTTTCATCAGGACAGTCATTGATTTATATGTCAGGCATGGACTTGTTGATGATATCTCATGAAGTGGCTACACACATCGCTGCCGATTGTAGTATTTTACGGAAAATGTATTTGTATCAAAGTGCACCGAGCCTGGCACAAGCACTATGGTAACATCACCACCACTGAGTAGGAAATGTCTACTGTTGTGTCTGTGCGTGGTTTGGAAAGTAGGTCACACTCTGCACTACAATCGTGATGACGTGGGTTTAATTCCTGGCTACAATTAACAACACTCGTGCCATAAAATGTGGCATCTAAATCTGGTTGGACCCTCCCTCTGTAGGTTGACTCATTCTAACGTGAGTACCAGGTGCACTGGGGAGTTGAAGGCAGATGGGCTGACGTGGTGCCAACTGCACCACCTGCTCGTGATGTGCCGTGCCATCCTTAATAAGTGCTCGGCTGAGGCATTCCCGACTAAACAAAGAACTATATTGACTAAAAAGAGAAATTTCAAGAGACTGAAATTTAGAGTGGTGTAAATCATTACCAGCATATTATCATTACCTCATCCTAAAACCAACGTTCGTCTTTGTTTATGCAGCAGCTCAGTTTTTCCACAGTGCCTCACCGTTTGACTCGTTCTCTGGCTCAAACACTTGCACATACAGTACTTGGGATTTGTTCCCACCGTCCAAATCCTGAATTAGCACGTAACCCGCACAAGCGGTAATGCCATTTGCAGTTGTCCCTTACCTGTTATCAAAGTGCCTTCACGCTCAGACGAGCCGGCTCAATCACTGCTCAACCGTCTCCGTTCCCACCCAGTTAAACAAAATAAAGACACTTGGAAACCCCCATTGGTGCTCTTCAGGCAGTGTGGGAAATTACGTAGCCTTTGTGCACATGCCAGTCGCTTCATGAGGCAATCACGGTTGACCTCCCACAAGATGATACGCGGTTTACCACCCCTGGAGGAATGATATGCTGAGTTCACTCCCCCACCACCACAACCACAGCACCCCCCCCCCCACCCGCACCAGATGGAAATTGAACTCGAAGCATTCCGCTCGTGAGCTGAGCGCTCGTTCCACAGAACTACAGGAGAACCTCTCTTATCCGCGGAATTGTGTGCAACCAGTGTCGCCGATCCGATCATTCGCACAGTTTCCCGTGAATTTACTCCTCATCCGTGGGGGGGGGGATGTGGATAATATAAAGAATGGGGCCAAGGGCAATCGGAGATTTTGTGGACCCTTCAGCTGATTGAGGATGGAAATCACACAAAAATTCCAAGTAAGTTCCTTCCTCTAAGTAGCATCGAGTCGGTACTCATCGCCTGTATGCAGCTCTTAGCCAGTGGTGCAAATTCCACATTTCCTATGGCAGGCGGTTGACTCTTAGGAAAAGAACCGTTGACAAGTTGGTGCTCGTTTTATTGACCCCAAGAGCGTTGATGGGCCGAGTCGACCGCCAACCAGGATTTGAACTCGCCGACCTCCCGATTTGCGAGCGTTGAATATAATAATGATAACACAACCACCGTGATTATTTCGTCTGGACAGGCCTCCTTAATACGTTTCGCATCCGTTGGCCCGTTACTCGGGGCAGCTCCGAGTGGCAGCGCGCACGTTCTCAGCGTCCAGCAGACTCTGTCAGCGAAGACTTTGCCTCGGGGCTCTTTCCACTGGAGCTGTCTCAACCACTCATTACTCAGCCGGTGTGAAATGTTAACCCCTCTGAAAAGCATTTCTTCAAGGTGGATTAATTGCAAAGATATAATATAATAAGTCTTGCCCATCCACGGAGTTCAAACCGGGTCATGAAATGTAGGATTTAAAAAAAAAACCTGTCAAAAGTGTCTCCTCATGCATAGGCAAACACGTTGGGCAGTTTGCTCTCTCCATTGTGGAAAGTGTGGCCTGCAAATGTCTTGTTCGCTGCTTTAGTGGGTTCAGGGTAATAATAAATTATTATTATTATTACACAGACAAGGGCTTGTTTCGTTGCCAAAAAGGAATCCCACACATTTACGTATCTCAGACCAAGATGCATGAATATTCCACATGATTGCTTTGCAGCAGCATTTGTGCAGGAGACGTGTGAGCCGGCTTCAACTTTCTGAGTCTCATCAGCAGTGTGAGGCCTGATACACACAGGCCCGACACGGTGGGGCCCATTTTCACGCAGAGAGCTAAACTGGAGTCTTTTACTGGTAGGAACCTCCTGGTTACACCAGCCCACAGGGGATTATTGTATCCGTCGTGCAGGGAGAGGCTGGGTGGGGAGGGAGAGGCTGGGTGGGGAGGGGAGGGTGGGGAGGGGCTGGGAGGGGCTGGGTGGGGAGGGGCTGGTCACCCCGTGGTGCCCTTATTATAAAACTCAACATTTAACCTACTCACGCCGGCTTGTGCCCGCCCTCACAGTCGGCCATATTTGCGGAATACACCACGCCGCCGTTGACCCTGGCCATTGACCGAGCAACCCAACGTTCCTACCAGCTCCCTCCGCAGGAATGTGTTTTCTATCACTCATTTGTTGGGTTGCCTATTTTTATCGGCAAAACCCTTTTGCAAACAAGGTTTGGGGCCCGTTTCAAAGGATCAGGAAACGTTGGCCCAGAGAGGCAGCGAGGTGGTAGGTTTGAAAGCGATTTTAAGTTCGTTGTTGGTGAGACGGGCATGTTGATTTGTGCATTACTACCCTTGACACGCCCGTTTCACAAACACGGAGGAGGAGGCATCGTCATCGGAGCGATGATTCACCACTCGGCTACTGCCTCAACCGCCTCCAATGTAAAAGTATAGCCGTTGCTGTACACGAACATCAGCCGTCTGAAGAAGAAGAAGCCTTAACATGGCATAATAAAACTACTGGGTGTACACTTGTTTCTGTCCCGTTGCGTATGACCAACACTGCCATGTGTGGCCTCCTTTAGTGCACCTGGCCTGGCACACACAACTCCCGTGGGGACATCACTGCCGCTTTTGGAGTGGAATGGCAGCTGATACTGTTGTTGTTTGTGTTTGTGCATTCAAATTAAATGCATCTTGGATCGTGTTCTCTCCGATGCAGTAAACGATAATGGGGCCATTGACAATAGGAACGGTAACAAGCAAGGTCTCCTGCATCTAATTGCCTTTTAAATATCCCTAGAACGAGAATTGGAAAAGGTGACAAAAGCCTCCTTTGCTGTTGCGGCACCAACGTTGTGGAACGACGTGGTTCCTTCCCTCAACATCGTAAATCCTCCTCCAAAAAATACCTCGAAGCAGAAGAATAGTGCAGGATACAGCAGTCACATTTGCAAATGTGATTTGTAACTTTCATCTTTGCCTGTGTATCGTTGGTTAAATGTCATTGTGCCATTACATTGAGGGACTGCTGCTGTGTGGCGTTACCTTGGTGTGATCTGGGACTGTTTTGTTGGTTTCTGCTCCCTTGCTCAAGCTTTAACGAATCGCTCTTAGTGTTTCTTGAGTGACTTGCTTACAATGTTTTCTATGCGTACACTCCTATGGTGTGTGTTGTATTGTTTGCTGTTGCAGCTTGCTGACCCGCCCATACTGGGCATCTGTGTGACGGAGCTTCATAGCTCATCGGATTCCTCCTGCAGTCTCAATACAGATTCTGATTCTGGTGCCGCCGCCGCTGCTCCGTTCTGTTTGTTGGGTCTGTAGATGTCAGGCTCGAGAGCTTGTCCAGACACACAGCCCGGCGACTGTTCAGAGCGCGACGACCGTGAGACGCAAGAGAAGAGGCCACTTCTTCTGAATGGCGAGTACACGGCGCGATTCGCTCACTCGTTCGCTCGCTCGCTCCCTTGCCCGGGTTACTCGTCAACGTACGCACTTCTTCTGAATGGCGAGCACACGACGCGATTCGCTCACTCGCTCGCTCGCTCGCTCGCTCGCTCCCTTGCCCGGGTTACTCGTCAACGTACGCACTTCTTCTGAATGGCGAGCACACGGCGCGATTCGCTCACTCGCTGGCTCGCTCCCTTGCCCGGGTTGCTCGTCAACGTCAGCACTTCGCTCCGTCTCGTATTTCGATAGTCCACTGGACAGCAATTCGAGGCGTTTCAGAGCGCTGTACACAAACTAAACTTGACATGCATGCCCAACAGTTAGGATACAGTGTACGGAATACATGACATTTCGTTTAAGAATAACAAAGCCTTGTACCATAGGCGATGTAATGTATCGGTATTTTATTTCGTTAGAAGTTGGGATTGGTAAAGGTGCAGCCCTGCAATTGCGTGCACTGGCCACTGCTGGCTAAAGTTGAATAATTTGTCAATAATAATAGACTGCCCTTTAAAGAGCTCCCCTGCCGTGCGGATCATGGAGCAATGCTTGACTATACTTCGCTATGCTGGTCAGTGCGAGTTCATGAAGAGGGGGTTGATATCACTTGCCATCAGGAATCTGTCCCAAGTCTCCCAGTTCACAGTGGGGTAAGATAACCACTGCGCCACCACTCCCTCCTCCCAGAGGTACAAAATGTAGTATAATGTCTGACTGCCCAAAGTGTCCCTCTGGTTAATTAGCACTGTGCTGACCTTCCTCGGATACATGTGGAAATTCAACATTCCTATGGCGAGGGATATTTTGTGATAATGAGCTTCACTGATCCAAACCAAACGAACTCGCACGATCTAAAATGCAAAAACGGCAGCTCCTCCAAACTGATTTGAATTGTTATTGCAATGTGCTTTATCATTACTACCACTACTACAGTATTATTATTGTTGTTGTTGAAATTATTAGCCATTTAATTTTAGAGTCACCAGTGTCTAGCACATAAAAAAAAAGTATTTTTTGTGCCGTCGCGTTTTGTTGCCACATTGGGGTTTTCTTTCTTCACTCCTTGCCTTTTATTCTGCGCTTAACGTTTGAGTCGTGAGACGCACCACCGCCTCGCGTGCCGCGCCCGTCTCCCTCACACACAAGACGTTGGTCTCAGTGGGCCCCCAGTTTGCTTCAAGGTAACGATCGTTGGCGAATTCATTGAATCGTGGAGAGGTTCTCCCCGCGAATGGAAACACGGTTTCCGCGTGGCAGATGAGATCATGGGAAATGAATCTCGATTTTAAAATACGATTCAGATGTAATGCTGCAAATAGAAAAATGTATTTAACACTGTAATAGTATGTAATGAACCAGATAATTTATAGCTACATCAATCCTAAATTAAAAGGAAAAAGACATTTACAAACGGTGTTCCCTCAGCCGAACTGATCTTATCTTCGTATCTAGATTTATATGGTATCACAAGGTAGGCTTCAGGTCAACATTTTATTACTCGGGAGAGCCCAACTCGGGGAATCTATCGAGAATTCTAAAACTAGTGGGAGAACCACCACAAGCCGGCTTTGTTTTATTTTCCTGCGAAGCCAAAGGAAATGACGCAAAGCCAATCAACAACAGCTCTCGGGAAATGTTTATCCCAACATTGTTTTTTATCGTACTTGCCTGCAGTAAATTGAACGCTGAGCAAATGGTTGTTTCTAAAACCCACGTACTGATGCTACTTACTTGCTGCACAATGAAGCCCGCACTGGCCAGCAAGGGGAAGTATTGCCAAACAAGCCCCTTCGCTGATGTGGCATAGTCGAGAGTCGTCCATCCCACAGTGTGTTGGCTGAAAGGGGCTACACGTGATTATTATTGTTGTTGAGTGATTATTGTTTATCATAGTATCCGACTGGGTGGCTCAACTCGCAATCAGAAGGTCACGAGATGATATCCTGGTCAAGGGTCAACTCATCATCATCATCATCATCATCCATACATGGTCACTAAAATGACTACCACATTGCGATAAATTATGAAGCAATTATCCTACGGAGAAAAAACTGGCCCCCGTCATAGGAATATTGAATTTGTACCAATGCCTGAGGACTGTTACACGGAGGAGACAAGGGCGCACTCCCACGTTGACGTTATTTGTTTTGGCGAGAGATTGACTACTTAATGGTCAATTGCTGGAGTGCAGGTTGGAGCTGGTAAGTCATTAGCGATTCAGGGGTTAAGCATGCATGAAAGGCTTTGCATTGATTCCTTAATGAAGGCTTTGATGATGATGCCGGCCTCCTGTCTGTACCACTGCCAAGGCACTTCCGCAGCTAGCTTAGTGGGCTATTGATGCTCCCAAACAAGATGAGCTGTTGTCATTTGAGTGGAGTCTTACGGTTGTAAGCATTAGACTCTCAAGACGAAATCAATGTGCATTTCAACTTGCAAAAACACACGAGTTGACTGGGTGAATTGAAAGACTTTCTGAATGTTGTTGCCGAGGGATTGGACCAGCAATGCTGGGATTCTGTCTTTAAATGGGGGGGGGGGGGGTGCTTGGTTGTGGGGTGTTACCAGCCCACCTGTGGTCGAACCGGGTTCTCCTGTGTCGCGAGTCGATGATCTCAGCCCCCCCGCGCAGGAATGACGACAGACAAACACATCCCATCCACACCAGAGTTTCAAAACAAGTCAAATCGTCTTCCTGCACCAACGAGCGATGGGGCAATGTTTATTATCTGCGTTGCTGGCCTTGAGCCCAGTGGTGGAAATACCGCATACCTCTTCGTGTTCGACTGTGCCCATCATTTCCCTGGGTAGAATAAAATATGAACACCAGAAACACAAGTCCGTAGACTTACAACTAAAGTAGTGATTGTGCTTGTATAAGAAATTGCCTTACCCCGATCAGTGTAATGTAACCATGTGTTGCTTGTGTCAAAACTGAGCTTCATATGAAGCCCAGATGCTCTAAACCAGGCCAGAGTTTGCATGCTGAAACAAATGCTGCTTGATCACAGTGGTCTGAAAAGCCATAAAGCCAAAGGATTACCATAGGAATGTGGAGTGTCCACCACTGGTTCATAGTTGGCGGTGGAAATGACCGTGGCTGCATAGCTGAACATGGGGCCATTTGGACTGACGGCCTATGCCCTTCTGGTGATGTGTGGTTTGCAGCTGCTGTGTGGAGAAGGAATTTCGTAGGGTTTTAAATATTTCACCCGGCACCTGTTTTTCATTTCATTGGCTTTGAGGTTGCTGCTCGCTCAAAAAGTTAACGATTTACTTTGAAACGAAATGTATTTTCACGCAATAAAATCTTCCTTTATGAAAAATACAAGTAGAACAAAGAAAAAGCCCTCGCTTGTGAAACACAATGAGGGGTGCAGCGCCCAACGAGTTTGACACGCGAATACAAGAAGAATGAACCCAACAAGTTAAAATGCCATTCCCATTCAGACTAAAGATTTATTTGAACTTGAGGTCAGAAACCTGCCACCTGTAATGGATCATCACGGCGCTGTACATGCTTGTAAACGCTGTGCATCTTTGATTGAACAAGGCAGATGTTACCGAGGCAGGCGTCTGAGTGGCACCAGGAGTTTGGCGACACAACGAAGGGGAGAGACCTAGGGCAAGGGTCGGCAGACCAAGTAACAAGAAGTGGTTTAAAGCTTTCGTGACTGCAGGGATTCATCTTCTTGGTTGTTTCGGTAAAGTCACGTAGAAGGAAAGTAATAAAATAATAAAAATAAAACATAATAAAATAAAATAATTCTCACGACGTTTCGGCTACAACGCAAGCAGCCGTCTTCACCTGAAGACGGCTGCTTGCGTTGTAGCCGAAACGTCGTGAGCCGTCTTCACCTGAAGACGGCTGCTTGCGTTGTAGCCGAAACGTCGTGAGAATTATTTTATTTTATTATGTTTTATTTTTATTATTTTATTATTTTCCTTCTACGTGACTTTACCGAAAGAACCAAGAAAATAACAAGAAGTGGATTATTTTTTTGTCAAATTCGGTGAAAAATATTTCATAGAGCCACAATGCAACGTGAATGTGAGACGGGGTGGTCCTTAATAAATAACGTCAGAATCGGTCATTAAGGAGCTGTAGGTTGCCGACACCTGACCTAGAGCCTCTGATGGTAGGATCCTATAAGAGCGTAGTTTGTGGTTAGGTGTCAACGTTAGAGCAACTCTGAGGTCTCAGAGCAGGAACTTAGCAACGACATCAACAACATTTGCCGTGATGGCGACGTGACCTCGACTGCCTCACAGTTGGAATATCGTGAGTTGAACTTGTGGCTGGGAGTCAACTCGGCTCATCATCCCCCTGAGATCATTACATTGAGGACTACTTTTTGGTAAGTCAACAGTGCTGTAGAGAGACTGACTCACACCATAGGATTGTGAACTGTTCGTCATTGTCTCTGGATTGATTACCTGAATATTTGAGCAGGTAGCCACACTGACTTGGACGGTATACAACTTTATTCGAGATGAGTTAAATTTTCTTCTGATAATGGATTGTGAGATATCTATTTACTTTTTTGCGTTTTTTTGTATTTAAAATATAATACATTTAAATAAAATTTCATTAAATTAATTAAACATTTAATCAAATGTTTAGCATCATTCCATCACCAAAAATAATGCATTTAATGTAAACAAAGCATATATATAATTTTGCTTAACAAACTTAGGAATACATTCCCAAACTATTTATGTGCTTAAAACGTGCATATAAAAAACAACACAAAGATCCCCCATATAGCCTTCACAATAGACTGTTGGGTCAAGTTAGTGAGCACCTATGAAGACCGGCATGGCACACGAGGAGGTTATTTGGCCAGCATTACGCCTGGCCGCCTTCATCTCCCCAATTGTGACGATGTTAACACACATCGCCAGAACTGGTTTAGATTTCGCCAATTTTGTCTGTGAGCGGGAATCAAGCTCAGTTCATTGGGTTCACAGTGCAGCACGCTAACCACTGCCACACTGCTGCTCACGTATACCACAGACGCACGCACGCATATATGCTGTGAACTGTACTTGCAATTGTATTTGACATACATATATCCTTATTAGTTTAGATCTTTAACAACTAATTTGTCAACAAACATTGGCCTTAAATGGAAAATAATAGAAATTGGTAATGTTTTTGGCCCTTCTTGGTTGCACACCGTTCGTGCAATAATCACCACGTATTCGTATAAACGAAATTGTGATACAATTTCAAAGTATTTTTTCCAAGCCAACGTGTTACAGGACATTTATTTCCTTGATTATATCGATGCACGGTCGTGGGGTATTTTCAGTTCCTCCTGCAAGCGCGGTTCTTTCTGCTCCTATATCTATTTGCTTCGTTGCTGTTCTTCTATGACAGAGATATATATTTATGAAAGAGATATTTATTTATTAAAGAGATATATATTTATTTAAACGATATATATATTCTTTTTGCTTTTCTCATTTTCAGCGAGCCAGGTCACTCTTGCAAACGAGACTCGTCATCATCCGCTCACCTCGAGCACCTCGCCCGGCTCAACAGAATCAAACGTGAGCGTGATGTTTGGGTTGCAGCGGGGGACGGAGCGCGCCTGCCGTCGGAGCGAGCCGACGATGGCGCGGACGAGGCCGGCTCTCCGGGAGGGGAGAGCTCTGCGCTCGTGCGCACGCCCGGTGAGGAGCAGGGGCAGCGCGCCGCCACCGCCGCCGCCGCTGACGATGAGCGGGGAGGAGAGCGCAAGTCGGAACCCGCTCACGAGCTCAACGGAGAAGGTACAGCCACCTTGCCTCCGTCCGTGAGATCCTTCACCGCAAGCATGATGCGTGGGTAATGCGGACCTGATGATGCCAGCCAATAGGCGTCTATTTGGTGTTTGAGCATTTGAAACAACACCTGCTGTATTGGTGCCAGAAAGGGTAGAGGCTTTCTTTTTCCATCACCTTGGCTCTGTTCGCTTTGCGACGCAGCTCACCGTAGTGGTTATGCGCATGCACGGCCTCGGGAATCGAATTCGGATTGCCGGGTTCGTAGCACAAATGGACTTGCGTATGCACACACACGCGATGGCAAAGTTGCTTATGCACCACTGTTGTGTTTCAAGTGCAGAAGGTAACCTTGCAAAGGCACGCATGCACAGCAGCCTGATGCAGTGATAACAAAGTTAACAAAAGCACTGACACTGAACGCCGACTGGCTGGCGTGCGTGTGTGTGTGTGCGCCATGTCACAAAATGAATGTAGCGTGAAGGAGCAATGAGGTGGGAACAGGTTGACAAGTTGTGCAGCAAGTTTGTCCGTACAATATAGTCGCGCTTGCACAAGGGAATGTTTATTTTGATTTATTTATAAAAACATGCCACCTGTAAACTCGCTTGGGATGGAACGATTCGATTGCAAGGCCGTCCAGGGTATTCTCATCGTCGGCCCGTTCGTCACAAAGCAAGCAATGCACAATTGATTTAAGCTCACGCAGATTCTTATCTGTCTCAGTGTTCCAGAGAGTATCGTGTAGGGTACGCGTAGACCTCTTTTTCACCGCACAAGCGATCCGGGCCGTGTGGAGTCAGCCCAGCGCAGCTCGGGAGGAGCGCGAGACGCGACGCGGGCACGCCGCTGACGTCGCACGCGGTGACCGCACGCAAGTCGGTGACGCGGCGACGCTGTGGCCTCACGGAGTCCCGGCTGGCGGTCACGCACAAACACCTGCCACCGGCCCCGCTTGGGCCCACGAGGCAGATCGGGACGTCTTTGAGAGGCCGGCGTGTTGCGGTTTGGTTCTGGCTCGGTTCTACGAGTAGTACCGTGATGGCCCATGCTGACTCAGCTCAGATTTGCCAGTGGTACTATTTACTCGGCAATTTTTAGTCTTGCTTGGAAGACATCATTGTCCGTTGTGAGAATGCGTGTTGTCAGCACCAGCTTTTGTTTATATACTCCGACCTTATTTTACATTTGTAGAGCGTCTTTGCTCAAGGTGCCTGACGTATTTTAATACAGGTTAACATAATATAATGATTTAGCTGGCGTAGGCATGCAAGGGCTGAATAATGGGTGATCACGATAGAGGTAGGGGAGGGATGGAAAGAAGTTAGAGAGGCGAGGGGAGGGAAGAGGAAGAGAATGGGGAATAGAGAAGAGGTGGGACATTAAGAGAGGAACGGTTCAGGAGGGGGACTGCTTAATGTACAGGGGCAGTGGTGAGTCTATGGGCAGTGGTGAGTCTGTGGGCAGTGTTGAGTCTATGGGCAGTGTTGAGTCTATGGGCAGTGGGGAGTCTATGGGCAGTGGTGAGTCTATGGGCAGTGGTGAGTCTATGGGCAGTGTTGAGCCTATGGGCAGTGTTGAGCCTATGGGCAGTGTTGAGTCTATGGGAAGTGGTGAGTCTATGGGCAGTGGTGAGTCTATGGGCAGTGGTGAGTCTATGGGCAGTGTTGAGTCTATGGGCAGTGTTGAGTCTATGGGCAGTGTTGAGTATATGGGCAGTGTTAGTTTATGGGCAGTGCTGCTCAATGCACAGGGCAAGTTTATTCCAGTGGAGTGCTGCAAGGAGGGAGAAGGGCCGAAAAGAAGATTTGGCACAGGGAGAAAGAGGGACAGAGAAGATTGGGAATGAAGAGGAGGGGACGTGACAGGAGATGTGAGAGGCGAGTTGAGGTGGGGTGGGGCCATGGAGACATCTCCCAGAGCCACGCTCTAGGAGGGCTCTCTGCGGCGCCCCCTCGTGGAGGTCCTCCTGCCACCAGCAGTGGCATGAGCAAGACATTTCAGGGCTGCACCTTTGCCCCTTTTATCTTTTACCTTAATGGGGCAACTGATCTCTGCCATAGGAATGTGGAATTTTCACCACCGATTCAGAGCCACGAGAAAGCCCTCCCTGGGACTCATTTTAACCACGGGACGCTTTGCATTACTATGAGAGAGGACTGAGATGCGGTCCCCCTGCACGACAGGCAACCGGGGAGTGTTGTGCTGTCGGCGGTGGGACTCAGAATCCCATTTAATTTCCCAACAACGACAAGAAAAGGTCTCCACGTGCGCGGAGGGTGGTGTGAGCAGCAGGAATGTTAATCTGCGTCGGATCCACCCACCTGGACCGGCGATTCTTCATCCGTGAGACTTTGTTCCTTTGCTTTGAAATATTTTCCGATGTCAAGTCCAAACACGGGATTGAGCCAAGTTATTTTAAGTGGCCGTGTGAATTCCTGTCTCTTGTTTTTTCTCTTCGGCGAAAAGATAAATGCGTTTTCTCGTGAGATTGTTAACGCCTCAGGTGCTTTGCCTTAAAACACTCACAACATTATAATCAGTTTTCCGTTGGTGAAGTATCCCCAGCAACAGTTATGTTTTTCTCGAAATGCTATACGTCGTATTTTGTTTAGTTTTTTTCCACTTGTAACGTACTCCAGGCTATTCTTGCAAACCAGACATGCCTCGTCTGGTTATAAATGAAGTGCATCTGTTTCATATATATATGCTATCTTGCTGATCATTAGAGCTGCTGCCATTGTGTGATGGTTTAGCGCACTGGACTTGGCTGATTCAATCTCCCGGCGCGGCAGCTGAAGTAGGAAAGTTTCTTAAATCACTTCCCCTCTGCCCCTACCCCCTGACCCCCTCTGTGCACCCAGCAGCATGAATGAGCTACGCCATGATGAGTCGCGCTTGTGGTGGGTGGGGTGACGTGTGGGTACCCACCTCCTCAGAGATGTCTTGCCAGCTAGAGGGCCTGTGTAGAGCTCCCTCTCCTTGAGACCCATCCACCGGCGGTGGCGAGAGCAAGCACTTGCAGGGCTGCACCTTTACCGTCTGTGGCTGTGCTGTGACTGCAGGCTGTTGTGGTGAGGTCTCCATGGATTCGTTGCCCACTGCCCTGACTCAGGCACTATGTAAATCTGTATAAGATTAAGCCAAGCTGTTACCACTATCATTGCTTCTTCTTGCTTTTTTTAGTCAAGTCTTTTTTTTTACATCAGATTAATCACAACATGCACGTGGCCAGTCCACGCTAGGTTATTATAATGCCATTTCTTGCTGAATACTCACTCGGTGGCAACGCAGTGCGAGATTACCGGCAGCTATTTTTGCTCATCCGATTACAACATCGAATTGTTTGGCGATGCTGCCCGCTGCTGCATTGGGCAGTGGTGCACACACAAGCACGGATAACGAATAAAGGCTGAACACACACGGATAACGGATAACGAAGCGCACCTTCTCATCAGCACGGTTGGCTACGTACGGCGTGTGAACAAAGTTCACCCTCCGTACGTACAGCAACACTGTGGCCTTCAAGTGGAAAATATAATAAAATATGATAAAAGGCATCGTTTCCTACAATGGCCCCCTCTTCATAGGTGTGAAGAAGGAGCGTGTTGCTATGTGCTTTGTTATCACATTACGTCTTACACAATACTCGCCAACACATTTCGCCCTTGAAAAAGAGGCTTCTGGTCTCAATTGGCTCTCAACGGGTGTGTGCGTACAGCCCTTTTGTCAATCCACTGCTGGATGAGGGCCTCCCCACGTGGCATAGGTCATGGGGTCTGCTTTTGCTACGTAATAATATTGTAAAGCGCCTTTCATATTGATTACATCTCAAAGCACTTTACAACAAAACAACGGTTATGAGTATGGATGCAATCCAATCGAAATACGGTAACATTTTAATAATAATACTGCAAGGACATTTATGACTGCTGCACCCACAATATCGATAGAATGAAGAACCAACGAGGATAAAAGCCAACAACAATAATTCATTACATTCACAGTGTAGGTAACATCTAATCATGCGTCACCACTGGTCAATGAGGGTTTGCTATGAGCATAGACAGGGAAACATAGCATTGCATTAGTCCCGCAGCAGCCTATAACAACCCAGTTTAACATGCAGGCTTTCGCGACCAATATTTTTCATAACAAAGGTTAGATCGCGACACGTTTATACTTACGTGATCAAACCCAAAAAACTTTTATTACGTATTTACAACCCGGTTTACGCATGGTGTCCGCCCATTCATGGACTGTCCAGGCTCAATGCCCGCTTAGCTTCTGAGAATTGACGAGGTCTGACACAGCCCTCGTCATTTGGTCTCTTACCTCGTTATGGATACAACTCATTGGCGATGCGTAGAGCAGTGGTGGTGCGCAAGCGAAATCTAACAAATACAGACCCCAACACATCTCGGACTTCTTTGCCTCAGGAATGCAGAGCGGTTAAATTCCTTGGAAAATGTTTTATTGGGTCCACAAATGCATTCCGACGGTGGATTGTGCTTTGAACAAACCTTCCCACAATGCACTGTGCCGGGAACATTTAATAATTTTACCGTGAAGAATGTCCATTTATTTTTAAGGCCACAGTGTTATTGACGATTTTGTTTGAGTTTGTGTTGTTCTAAGAGTAAAGTACGGTATTGTCACTCGGGCATGTTAAGAAATCCACGGCTATGGTGTTTTCGCTGGTTGCCTGGTATCGTGGTAACGAGCTGTGAAGCCGTGTGAGCCGTAGCGCCGCGTGGGCTGGGTGGCTGCGTGGCCCTGTCTGAATTGGGTCATTTAGCAGCGCAACTGTAGCCGGCATCAAGGCTTCTCGGCCCCCCACACACACGCGCACGCAGACATCTTGTGCAACGTGGAGGAATGTGTGGGGCTGTGATGGGTCCCGGCCAGGAGTCCAATAGAGGAACGCTGTTCCCAAAGCAAGGCCCTCTTAGATTACTTTGAATAGCGCTTTGTCTTAACACAGTCGTTAACTGATAGCTTCTGCATAGCTGCCTCTCCTGTGGCTACATGTCTACTTGCCAAACCGATACACCGTACAATACCCCACCACAGTGAAGTGCAGTTTGGTTTATAGTCTCGTCTGCACGTGTCTGTAGAGGCAGGGAGCAGTGGTGCCGCAGTGAACATGCTGCGCTACGAACCCGGCGACCCGAGTTCGAATCCCGCTCGAGGCCAACACCAGTTTACAATTGTCTGAACCGGCCCGGGGCCTCCCCGAGGTGCGGTGTGTAAACATCGCGACGAGGGAGACAAAGACGGCCGCGCGTGATGTTGGCCGCCCACCCACTTGTGTGCCATGCCAGCCTTAATAGGAGCTCGCTAACCGCACTTGCCACAACAGTCTGTTCAGGCTATATCGGGAGGGTTTTTGTCAATATACAATAGTTAAAGCTCTACTGCTGGATGAAGGCTTCTCCACTTGTACGTTTGGTCGCGTGTGTTGGTCAACCATACTTCACCATGCTGGCCATCTTGGGTTTGTAAAGACAGGCGGGAGAGGGGGGAGGGGCAACACTCGTTTCAATTTTTCCCCAATGCCAATGTTAGCCATGGTCATGAATCGAGCTCAAGTTGTTTATAGTACAGCGCGTTCACTACTCGGTGTGCCAACGTGTTTGAAGATCGAATCTGGTTGCAAGTGCAGTGCGCTGCTAATTCTTAAACAGCGATGTGGCAGCGTCTCACGGCCAGTTTAACTCCGGCCAAAAATAAACACGAGTACCTGGGGCGGTAATGGAGGACAATTACATAAGAGCGCGGTGACGAGTGTGGCTGTGCATGCGTGGAGGAGCTGGCCACCCCACCGCCACCTCCAGCCCGCAACCTTGGCAGCCTTAGTTGGCGTTCAAGCAACACCAGACAGGGGATTTCTTTGTGCGACTACCTCCGTACGGACAAAGCAGCGTGCCCCGAAATCTCAACAATTGCCAAAGTGTATATTGTAAGCTAATGATTCGGAAATTTGCTCAAGAGTTATAATTTGTTTGAAAAACGTTTTGTTATGGGGCGGCTTGCTGCCTCGAATGTAGAGTGGAGAGGAATATAGAGGGAGGGAAGGATGGAGAGGTGGAAGAGGAGATAGAGGAAGAGACAAATGGAGATGGAGCGATAAATCGAGATACATTGGGACATCCAGCACAGAGAAGGCAAGAGAAAGTTGCGGAGAGACCGGGCTCGATATCAGAATAAAAGTTTTGCTGGCTGGCTGGGAGAGACGGGTGGAGGGACGATCACATCCAAAGCACGTGCGAGTTACTCGTCATAATAAAAAGCAATGGGGCGAATTTGTGCGGTGTTAGCTGTGCCAGGCTGTACCGTGGACCGTGCTGTACCAAGGTACGATGTGTCCGTGCCTGTAGAAGGACGTCTGCTATTTACTTTGATTATCCGGCATTAGGGAATGCTGGGAGCTGCACACGGCTGGAGAGTGAATCCCCTTTGCAGCGTCGACAATCCCCATTGGAGCCACGCGTCTTGTGAGGGGCTCGTCAGAGAGGGGAGGAGGCATCATTCGTGTGTGGTCTCATGGATAAGATTCCGGTTTCTTCCACCCGTTTAAAGTTAACATTGGAAGACTGATTGTATTCGTGAAAGCGGTGTGTGCATGCCTGTGTGTGTGTATTGATGGGGAGCGGTAGCGTAGCCATCAGCGCACTGCGCTATAAACCCGGCAGCCCGAATTCGATTCCTACGCACGGCCAATACCAGGTTGACGATTATCTGAACCGGTCCTGGGCCTCCCCTAGATCGACTCAAATGAGTACCTGGTGCGGTGTGTAAACATCACCACTGGGAGACAAAGGTGGCCGGGCGTAGTGTTGGCCACCCACCCCCTCGTGTGCTGTGCCGGCCTTCATAGGTGCTCGCTAACAGCACTTGCCCCAATAGTCTGGTGAAGGCTATATGGGGAATCTTTGTGTTTGTGTTCATCCATGCATGGCTGGGTTTGAGTGTGGGCATATGTAAAACGTTCCTGTGTGCGTTCACGTGCATACGTCTGCATATTTTGTGTGCGTGTGGGCCTGCGTGCAAGCATGCGTGTGGGTAGTGTGAAGGGCGGCCGTGCGGCGGTTAGCGTGCTGGCACTACGAACCCGTTGACCTGAATTTAATATCCCGCCTGTGGCACACATAAGTGGCAAATATCTGAACCGTTCGTGGACCTCCCCGAGGTCAACCGAGGCTTGAATGAGTACCTGTTGTGGTGTATAAACACCCAACATTGGAGATACAAAGGCGGACGGGCGTGATTGCTTGGAACACCACCCGCTCATGCTCGATAAGCACCACTTGCTCCAACGGTCTGTGAAATGGTCCATGGTGAATCTTTGCGTGCGTGGGTGCGGTGGTGTAGCGCTTAGCAGGCTGAGCTATGCACCTGGCGACCCGGGTTCGATTCCTGCTCACGGCCAACACCAGTGGCGATTAGCTGAACCAGTCCTGGGCCTCCCCTAGGTCGACTCAGCCTCAAATTAGTACCTGGTGCGGTGTGTAAACATCGTCACTGGGGAGACAAAGGCGGTCGGGCGTTGTGCTGGCCACCCACCCCCTTGTGTACCGTTCCAGCCTTCATAGGTGCTCGCTAACAGCACTTTCCCCAACAGTCTGTTCAGGCTACACGGGGGATCTTTGTCTTTGTTGATTGAGGTTGACGCACTGCGTGACAAACCCGGCGACCCGTCGAGTTCGATTCCCGCTCACGGTCAACATCGGTGATGATTTATCTAAATCGGTCCTTGCGGCCTATGAGACACAGAAGGTCAAACGTAGTCTAGTTTGGATAATATTGGTCTGTAAATCCAACAGGCCGATGGACTAATCACATTTGTACAGAGTTATACTTTTTTCCGCATCAATGCCACCGTCACACAGGAGCGTTCCTTTTTCTACAAGTTTAGCAACTTCCTGCAGGGCCACGGAATGGAGTCCTGCTTTTTATTGCCCTGCCTAAGAGGCTAAAACACAGACCCATGTCTCTGATACGCATGCGTGGCCGCGCTTTTCGGTGGAATGCGTGCGTCCGCAGCCGCAGCTGTGTCCGATTTTTGCATTATCTCTAATCTTAACAGATTCTTTGACGTAAATTCAAAACACGACCGCTTCCTTTAAGAGCCGTGCCAAGGAAACAGCGCCACCGCAGTAAAATATTCCATCCGTCGTTTGATTAATGTTTCCATCAAAGAGTTTGGATTGGCTCTTGAATACTTTTGTGTTGCAAGCATTCGCTGTGTAACTTCTGGAATAGACAAATGAGTCATTGGCCAGGAAAAAAAACATGAGCAAAGCCCTTCATCAATATTAGTTGGAAGTTTATTTGACACGAGCAAATACTGCAAGTTAAACATTGTTGAAGCGTGTGTGTTCATGCTGTACGGCCCGGGTTTTGGGAAGTGCGCTGTTCTTCAGAAATTTATTTGAGCTTATTTTTTTATTCGGAATTGAGCTGCTCATCTCAGTTCCTGAAGAAGCTGCCTGCACGTAGAGCGAAACGTCGGACACCGTGCCGAACAACGCTCAGTACAACTCAAAGAAAACACATGACAGGGGCTTTTTTTTACAGCAGCACAACCGCGAAATGAGCAAGTGATCGAAATTATTCTTTAACCTTGAGGGCTTCGCTCTCGTTAGGTAACAACCACTGAAAGGACCGAGTTAATCCCTGACTGGGAATTGAACTGCCGTTAAACCGCAGCAACACCCAGAAAGAGGTGCCACACGCGTACCACGTACGGTGAGTCCTAGCGAAGCGCGTGGGCTTCACGCAACGCGTTTTCGCGACTTTTAGTTTTCCTCACAGCACACTCGGCAGCCTCGTTCATCGCTGGACACTTGTGCGCGTGCGGCACCCGTGGGCCTTGCCCGAGATGACCGCTTGACTTTGGACCTGTGACAAGACGTCGATCGACTCTGTCTTGTCAGTCGCAGTCGGCGACGGAGGGGCCTTGCCGGCGAGCCTGGGGAGCGAGGAGTGCGGCGGCGGCGGTGGCGGCGACGGGACGGTGGTGACCGTTCCCCCGAGAGCGTCGGGACGGCCGAATCCGTGCGGAGGGGGGGCGCACGACGGAGCGGGGGGGAGTGAGGCGGAGGCGCCGTCCGCCCCCACGGAGGAGCGCATCGCCGGCGAGCAGCGCGGCGCCGGCCGGCCGAGTGGCCGCAAGAAGACGACGGCGATGGCGGCGGCCAACGGCAAGAAGAGGAAGCCGAGCGGCAAGAGCATCGCCTCGGCCTCGCAGATCCCGGTGGAGGCGGCTGACGGTGAGTGGGAGCTCGGCAGCGGCGGTGGTGGGGAGCGGTGGTGCAGCGGTTAGCGCGCCGAGATACGAACCGGGCGACCCGAGTTCGATTCCCGGACGCGGCCACCAACACCGGTGACGATTAATCTGAACCGTTCCTGGGCCTCGCCCTAGGTCGACTTGACCTCAACCTGGAGCGACGTGCAGTGAACATCGCCACTGGGGAGACAAATGCGGCTGGGCGTGGTGCTGGCCACCCACCCACCCCGTCGTGTTCTGTGCCGGCCTTCATAGCTGATCGCTAATGGCACTTGCCAAAAAGGTATCTTAAGGCTATCCGGGGATCTTTGCCATTGGCGGTGGTACTTGACACGCTCACGCACAATGCAAATGTTCACGCACGCGTTTTGCCGTCTGCTCGATGAGGACGTTGGTCATACGGACGCCTCGATAGGTGAATTGTTAACGTTCTTCAAGTGACCGTGATATACACAGACATACCGCAGCACTTTGCGCCAAACCTTAGCGTTGATTGGTTCATGAAGGTACACACGAATGGTGAATGAGGTTCGTAAATTCAGTGTCATGGGCGAGCGTTGGGCGTGGGTACAGGAAGAGGATTGGAGATGGGGATTTTGTGTTGAGGTGAAATTTTTAAATTAAGAATGTACACACACACAGTTTGTTGCCATCTGGGCCAGGTATGACTGTGATTAGAGCGCGTGGCTCAACATCTGAAATTAGCATGTACGTATGTGTGTTGAACTTCATTCGCACCGTACGTAGCCAACCGTGCCAATTGGGGGAGCCCATTAAGCGCCGAAAAGAGGCGCGTTTGGGCTGCCGTGATTGCGCGCGGCAAACCTTCGGTCTGACCGTGCTACGGCACCGGAGATTGAGGCTTCTCCACCCCACACGCTTGTGATGCCACGTGCAGGGATCAAGTGGTGCGGTGCCTCCGGATGTGTCACAGGAAGTGTCACAGGAAGTGACACGGTTGTGGCTGTTGCTGGGGTTGTTGGGTAGGCGCGGGTGGGGAGCGGATGGCACGCTGCAGTTTCATAACCACCATTGTTATTCACGCTGCCGTGCGAGTGAGTGAGGTACAAAAGGGCATCACCTCTGCCAGTGTTATCCTTTCCTGCGGAGCGGAGGGGAAAGGCAGACTGGTGACTCGGGGCTGGACAGTGGTTGACAATGGGGAGGTGGGGGGTGCTTTTAAAAACAATTTGAGACTCTATAATAATTAATTATAATAAGTCCTATTTGTAGCTTGTGCATAATTAGTGGAGTGAGTCCCTCACGCAAGTCACACTCTATTGTATGTGAACGGTTTATTTTAAATAACATAGCCAACACGTCTTCAGGACCCATTGTAAATATAATAAAAATGGTCATTTATAAGGCAGTAAAATCAGAGCATTGTAAATCAGACAGATTAATTATGGGACGGCAACAAAAAATCTTTATGGGGTCAATATATGTACTGATTTGTAAGAAATCATCCACGCTTTTCTGATTGTGAGACTGTCCCCAGCCGTAGAAATGTCGAATTCCCGCCACTGGCTCGCGGCCATCAAACGAACCGTGCAGAAACTGCCCGCGTGCACGTGAACGCAGTCGGAGTTTGGCTCTCTTGCTATGATCAGGTGCGAGAGCAATTTCCAGGCAAGGTATAATCATTATCGTGTCCCAGTGTCAACCATGAACATGTTAAGCCAATCAGAAGAAAACAGAGAGAAATTGCTTCGATGGGCAATTTCTATTCTCTAAACTTTTTCCTGCCCATTGTAATGTAGTTACTTTTCCCCCGTCGTAGAACAGGCAGGTTTCTTGACATTCATACCGGAACTTTATTCGTGCATGACTCTGTGACTGGTTGTGACTTTTGTCCTCTACTTGAACAACTTAAACAATAACACACACACTCACGGTCGTGCACGAATACAATTAGAATATTAATTGTAATCAAGGCCGCAGAACCTTCAATCTGAAACACAAGGACACCGTAAGTACACACACAATCGAGTGTACGTACTGTACATTGTGTACAGTATTTTCTTGCCATTGTTGAGACTTTTGGTGTCGTTGGTAGGGACCGCAATGCGATTCACAAAATCTTCCTCGGCCAAAGATTGCCACAATTGTGGGGCAAACGCTTCTCTGTTATCGGAATGCCCTGAAATCTGGCAGTTTAATTTTACGAAAGCCCGGCTTGATCACACCGAGAAAGGAACCGTTGCCAAATCAACGTATCACTTGATATGTCGCTTGTAAGAGCAACGGCGCTAAGCACGTATCGTGAAGGTGGACGTCTAAAAAAAATTGTAGTTTAATTTCATTTTCAAGTACTTTCCTTTTTACAAATGACAAGCGCGTAGTGCCACCGAAATGAATGTTTAATGCTGGTGTCAGCCTTTAAATGTATTCTTTATAAATTATTATACCCAACATATTAAAGGAATATTTTTTATTTTTACAAGTTAGATCGCAATATCTTACGTTAGCAACGAAGGAGCGGCCAGCCCTTCTTCCGCAAGTTAAATATTCTCTCGTTTTCAGATAAAAAGGAAATCGTATTCAGATAATTTCAGAAACAAACACGATGACATTTTTTTTTGTCAAGACTCCTAATACAGATACATTTCCTGTCTTTACAAAACATTATACGTATTAAATTAGCCTGTGGAGTATTGTATTCTCGAATGTATTGAGTCAAGTTCATCTTAGGATATTGAAAGCTTTCCTAGTAGATATAAAGAAAACTGACATTTTACCTCGCCTAATGGAGTTTGGAATATAATGGCACCTGCTTGAAATTACCATCGCATAGTTATTGCTACAAAAGAATATATATATACATATATAAAATAAGCTATGACATATAAGCACATTACCAGGACTTGCTCCACTTACAGATACAATGTCTCTTTCTTTTCTCCACATTGATCTCTTGCGCTCTTAAAATTGCACAAAATGAAATATATTTGACACGCTGTCATTGCCGAAATGGCTTCAGGCAACCCGGACTGGAGCCGCAGAAACTCGCGGCCGATTTTAGCGCTCGAAGCTTCCCCCCGTTGTCCTCGCGGGCTCGTGAAGTCGTGCCGGTGTTTGTCACGCCGGGCCTGAACTGCGTCCTCTCAAACTACGGGGGCCTTGTTAGTCGCCTCCTTGATCAGCTCCCCGCACTGTTGGCGTGTCGCCACCCGCCCGGTATTGCTTTACTGCGTCGGCACGGGGGTCCCACAGTTTACTCGGAGTGCTCTTGCCAATGACGCCTGAAAATCCAACGGCATTTATCTCACAAGCCCGACTCTACTGATGACGCCCGCAAGTGCAAACCCGGTCTCCAGATGGCCCATAAGGTGAAACGAAAAATATACAAATACACTTGTATGAATGCGTACGTTTGTCATTTGTTCAGTATTTATTTGTTAGCAATAATCTTGAGCCGCTTTCTCCATAATACTTGAGTCCAGTCAGAGTATTTCCGTGCTCAAAATGAGCATGGGGTGTTGGGATTTCCCCGTTCCTGTACGAGTACGTGTACAGCCCTTTTTGTGTCGAATCACTGCTGAATGAGGGGCTCCTCATGCCGTGTGGGTCTTGGGGGTTATTTGACCATACTTCACCGCATCAGTCACTGTGGGTCGACGAAGGCAGGTACTGTAGTATAAAAGTAGGAGCATAGAAGTACAGCACGACAAATGATTTTGCTGCACCGCCCTATGATGTCCGACACGTGTCTGTTGTCCTTAAGGCCTGTTTTGCACAGAACCCCAGCTGAACTTCTGAGAGGTGATGAGACCAGGGATCAGGTGCATTCTGGGTGCATTGGAGAGTTGTCATCCATAAGATGACCACTTTTGACCTTCCACCTCATCAGGTGTTACTGGACACATCACTCACAACGATTGATCCTTACGTCACGGGGCTTACGAATAAACCCAAATAATAATTTTGCACTGCGGTGGGTATAAGTCATGACACAAGACCAGACGCCTCCTTTCCATATCTGTCCATCCACGTAAACAAATGTGTCGCACATCCCATCAGCAGCATTGGTTCAAGACAATCGAATAAGCTGGCTTTCGTGGTACTAATGCGATCGCAGCCTGAACTACTAACACTTCTTCCTCTGCTCGTTTCCCCACTAACAACTCTCCACTCTCCCCTGCTGCTGCTACGCAGGCGGAGGGCACGCTCCCCCCAGAATGCTGCGTGTCCGTGCTGCTGGCTTGCCTCTTCTGCCACTGCTCGACGAACGCGCTGGCGTGCGTGACCACCGCCCTCTCACTCTGCCTCTCCGGCCTCGACCGCCTCTGCCTCCTCTGTCGCTGCGTCTGCTGCTGCTGCTGCGGCGCCGGAGCCGCCGGCGGTGGCGCCGGAGGAGCCGCGGCGGCTGCCCTCGTGCTGGAGGGGCCGCTCCTCTCGAGCGGCGTCGACGGCGCCGACGGGGCCGACGGCTCGTGCTGCGGACACCCGGAGGACGCTTCCTGCGACTCGTGCGGGGAGTCGTGCGGGGAGGTGGCGGACTGCCTGGAGATCTGCTTCGAGCTCTCCGAAATGTGTCACCACAATTAGCCGCTGTGCGCGCGCTCGCATTGCGCAACGTGGGGCCGGCACCGAGCGGGCAGGCGGGCTGGCGGTGGGGCGGTCACTGCTCGTCGTGCAGGTTCGGGCTTCGAACCCCGTCGGCCGCCCCCAGGTTAATACTGCCGGATGTGTTAACCGTGAGTATGCAAGGGGGGGGGTTAACGTTTACTTAGGAGAACGTTGTCCCAGCCCCCCGCCCCGTGGCGTTATTTCTAACAGTGCCGGAGTCACGGTACAAATTTGCGAAGTTTTACAAATTATTCGCAAAGTACTTAATCTGGTAAAACCACATAGCAACATCACCCCCTACAGTGAAACTGCTGCACTTTGTGTCTGTGAAACATTGCGCCTTCATGATAGCCCCTGCGTGGATACCAAATGTTCGGGTGATTTGATTTTCCCGGTACAGCGATGGTATGCCACCACACTTGGCCAATTTAAGCGGCGATTGTTTGAATGCATAATATATGGTATAAGGCAAAAAAAAACATTCAGTGCCGTATTTGACAAAAATATGCAATCATCGTGTATGTAACATCAATACGGTGGAAATCTGTATCACAAATCGAAATTGACGCTGGCAAAATGACCCCGTGGCGAGCACCTCCGGCCGTACGCTGCACACCCAACCCGTCCTGATGCAGCCCGCCACTCATCCTCTCTCCGATGTGTCCCTGGCGCCGTACCGCTTGGCGTTCGGCTCGATGAAATGATGATGAAACAATTCCTGGAGAGGCTCCCCAAGCGGGTGGAGCAAAACGTCGGACACCGTGCCGAACGTCACGCGGTCCGACCCGAGCGCGCGTCGGGATATTGCTCGCTCTGTTAAACCGCTTTCTCTTGTTAGCGTTTGCGTCCCTTTGTTACCGAGCCAGCAGCCGTGGGGGTGAGCTGTCAGGTTGCATTTGAAATGCCCTCTTGGCTTCCTCGCTGCCGTATCGGCAGGACTTTTGCAGAATTTTCACAAACCACCGCGCCGTTGAGTTGACTCGCGCGTTTCAAGTTCCGCGCTAAAGTCTCCCGACTGAGATCCGCGGCCGCTTTGAACGCCCGCAATGATTCATGCCTTTTCCCGTAATGAGATTTGCAACTTTTAATAACGAGTCCTCCTGCACGGGGGCGCCTGCAACCGACTCGTGTTTCGCGGCTTCACTTCCGATCGCTTTCGTGCTTTCACTGTTTTCCGTGCGTTTACTTACAAAGGAAGCATTGCCAAGCGCGGTCGCCCACCCAAACACCCACGTGGCGTCCAATTATAGAAAGGATGCTGTCGAGGCGCGTGCGTGCGCGCGTGCATGCGCGTGTGTGAGTGTGTGTGAGTTAGCCAGTGCCTATTAATGTCAGCACAGCACGTGAGGTGATGGTGTGCCTGGCACCAAAGTCAGAGTTCCCCCGTGTTGCCTTAACAGACTGTTGGAGCAAGTGCTGTTAGCGAGTAGCTCCTACGAAGGCCGGCACGGCACATGAGGGGGTGGGTGGCCAACACCACGCCCAACAGCCTTCGTGTCCCCGAGTAGTGATGTTTATTACACACCGCGCAAAGGTGCTCATTTGAGGCTGAGTCGACCTAGGGCGAGGCCCAGGACCGGTTCAGATAATCGATATTGGCCGTGAGCGGGAATCGAACTCGGGTAGCCGGGGTCGTAGCGCAGCGCGCTAGCCACTACGCCGACGCTCTCCACAAACAACACACAAACACAACACACACACACAACACACACACCACATACACAACACCACATACTCAACACACACACAAACGCAGAGAGTGAGTTTGTGTTTCTTCATCTGATGCTGCCGTCCACGGGGACTCTTCTCTGTAATTCTTCACGTGAGCGATTCCCGGCTTTGAGACGGTCCCCAAGGGATGGAGCGAGCATGTGTGTGTGCGTGTGTGTATATGTGTGTGTGTGTATGTGTATATGTGTGTGTGTATATGTGTGTGTATATGTGTGTATGTGTGTGTGTATATGTGTGTGTGTATATGTATGTGTGTATGTGTGTGTGTGGTGTGTGTATATGTGTGTGTTTTTAAATCCGTCGGTATGAACAATGAAAACTCTCCGTGAGGATGTCGCTTTGTTAAGTGTTGGGCTAGCGTCGTTACGCTGTGTGTGTGTGTGTGTCCTAAACTAAGCTGTATTTTAGCAGGTAAGGCCCACCGAGCTATGTAGCTCTTTTTCAGAAGCGACCTGGCCACAAATGATAGCTCAACGAAGTGGCTTATTATCACGTGGACATTTCTAGCAGCCAAATACTCTAAAGGCGGGTCCGTCTCTAAATGTGGAGGGAAAAAACGGAGGACCCGGAGAAAAAGTCCACACGACCACGGGGAGAGAGACACAGCAGCAGGCGTCAGGGTCGGTATCGTACCCACGACCTCCTGCATACCAGGCGAGGTAGTTAACATCTCCTAGCCACCGTGGCTGCGTGTGTGTAGAGACGCCCGCCCGGCATGTGCACGCACGACGGTGACAATGTGAACTGCGCGCCCGCAGAAGAGAAACGTCTCGCGAAAGCCGCAATGTTTTCAAATCGCAAACCGCCCTGAGACTTGACCAGAGTAAAGTGTGTTTACACTCCAATGTCGAGTCGCTTGAGTTCGTGAGCAGTGTCACATCCATACTTACTCCTGCTTCGGGGTCGGGGGGGAGGGGTGGTTGGGGGAGGAGTGGTTGGGGGAGGGGTGGTTGGGGGGGGGGTTCGGGGTGGGGGGTGGTTGGGGGGGGTGGTTGGGGGGGGTGGTTGGGGGTGGTGGTTGAGGGAGGGGTGGTTGGGGGGGGGGGTTGGGGGGGGGGTTGGGGGGGGTTGGGGGGGGGTTGGGGGTGGTGGTTGAGGGAGGGGTGGTTGAGGGAGGGGTGGTTGGGGGGGGTGGTTGGGTGGTTGGGGGGGGGGTGGTTAGGGGGGGGTGGTTGGGGGGGGTGTTTGGGGGAGGGATGGTTGGGGGGGTGATTGGGGGGGGTGGGGGGTGGTTGGGGGGGCGGTTGGGGTGGTGGTGGTTGGGGGGGTGGTTGGGGGGAGGGTTGGGGTGGTTGGGGGGGTGGTTGGGGGGGTGGTTGGGGGGGGTGGTTGGGGGGGGCTCCACCACAGGCGGTGGTCACGGCTCAACCCAACGAGTCGTTGTCGTCATCGTCTCGGGGTTGACGAGGTCGCCACCGACTCGCGCGAAGGCAACGGACCCGCCGTGCTGCTGCTGGAGAGAGACGAGGCCCCACTCCGCTGCTGGCCCAGGCCCAGCGGGTGGTGAGCGCTCGCCAACGTGACTTCACGTGGCGCCCTTCACAGTAACGGCGTCACGGAGCGCTTCGCGGGCAAACATGATCGTTACGTGATAAAAAATTGATGTGCGCGATCGTTAAAAATATACGAAGTTCACAATATAGAACGGATTATGAAATACGTCTTCGGCCAAATTTTTCAAACCGCAATCAATTCCTCGTATCAGTCGGTGTCCATCGTGCACTCCACTTGAACACTACGTCGACCCAGCACCCTGCACCATGAACACCCTACACCATGAACACCCTACACACTGCACCATGAACACCTCTGCATTCAGAAACCGGACTGAGAATCCTGATCCTCGGACTATGAACCCAGAACCTGAATTGGCAACCCAACAAACCCGGACCACAAGACCACAAACCTGGACTAGAAACCCACAATCCCACAAACATTTTGACTTTCATTTGTCGGGATGATGATGATCGATCATGGCTGTATTTTCCACCGATCCGTGCTCGCCATTTGGCCGTTGCAAGCAGAGACAACATTGTCTTTGCGTCATCACACGACGAACGCGTGCACTCCGAACACTCGCGCTGAGATCCACCCAGACGGCGCGTCAAGTCAACCGCGAGCTGCGCCACCGCCTGTAACGCTGCCACCACCAACTCCTCCATCACGATCCAAATCTCCACAGCAACCTGCACCAATATCACCACGACCATCACCACCACATTAGCCATCGCCACCATTACCGTCACTTCCAACCTTCGATTCGCAGGGTTGGCTACGTACGGTGTGGAAGAAGGAGTCAAGATACATCATTACGTACACTGCTATCACCACCATTACTATCACGTCCACTGCCATCATCATCATCACCTCCAACCACCACTACCATTGCTTCCAATCGGCATTACATTCACTGTTACCTCCACCATCATTTTCAGCACGAACATCGATGCCAACCACCATCACCATCTTGTCCACTCATCATCATTCCCGTCAACTTCACCGACATGTCTGTCCCTGTGTCTCACTGCCATCTCTGTCTGTCTCACCCTCGGTCTCACCTACTGGTCGCGTTTCTGTCTGTCCCAACCCATCTCTCGATGACACAAATTCGTGAAGCGTCTCTCACTGTCCCACTCTCTCCATCCCACTCCATCTCCACTCTCTCCATCTCACTCCATCTCCACTCCCTCGTCATCTCACTCTGCCCTCTCCCCCCCGCCCGTTTCTGTCTGTCCCAACCCATCTCTCGATGACACAAATTCGTGAAGCGTCTCTCACCGTCCCACTCTCTCCATCCCACTCCATCTCCACTCTCTCCATCTCACTCCATCTCCACTCCCTCGTCATCTCACTCTGCCCTCTCCCCACTGCCCGTCACGCCCCACAGGCTGCTGCATCAGCTGCGTGCTCGCATGCCTCTTCTGCGAGTTCCTCAGCATGTGCAACGCGCTGCTCAGCTGCGGCGAGTGCGAGGAGTGCTGCTGCTGCTGCTGCGCGCAGGCGTGCGGCGCGGACGCCTGCTGCGCCGGCGAGGACGGCCAAGCGTGCTGCTGCTGCGACTGCGAGCTGGCGGCCGCCTGCTGCGAGAACGACGAGTGCCTGGAGGTCTGCTGCGGGTTCTGCGCCGGCTGAGACACAGACATCAACCCCCCCCCCTACACCCCCGTGGACGGCGCTCACGACGGAACGAACGGAACGCGACCGCTAGCCACATCATGGCTCCATCGCTGCACCGCACCATCATCGCTGCATCATCACTCCATCATCACTCCATCTTCACATCATCTTCACTCCATCATCGCTCCATCGCTGCATCGCCCACATGGGCGCCCTTAAAATTCAGATCCAGCCGCAAAACGAAACAAACGCGTATGCCAGAGGAGATTTGTTGTCTTGCGTTGTGTCTCCCTTTAAAATCATCTCACGAAGAGCTTTCATGGGGGCTCGTGATCTCAGTGACAGCTCTGTTGGTGCAGTAGTGCCAGTGAGCTCTATTGAAAGCACGATTTCAATGAGAGCTCTATCAAGGCAGGATTCTCTATGTGCTGTGTTGAGACAATCTCAATTTAGAGCTCTTGAAACCACAATCTCAACGAGGGCTCTATTGAGGCCACAGCCTCCATTGCTCTTCGATCCGTGGGCAGGCTCACAGGTCGCACTGCCCACCTCGTCGTCGTCGTTGCGCACGAAAGGCCCCAAGTTTTCCTCCGCGGCCTCGGCCGCTGCTTCGGTCGCGAAACGTCGGACACGACGACGAACCGCACGCGGCACGGCTCGCGAGCACGGTGGGAGAGCCGTGCCGCAGCACCGCCGGTGGCGTCGCCTCCGCCGCCCGCTCGCCCTTCCTCGCACCAGACACTGGGGGACTGATGCGACGATGACTGGAAGAACCCCCGTGTCTGTCGAGGGCCCGGCCCTGGAACGCCGCTGCGCGTGCCCAGGTGTTTAACGTCGATGTTCTGCTTTCGTTTTTGACTCCGCTCGCTCGCTCGCTCGGGGGGCTGCCTTGCCACGCGCTCGCGCAGTGCCGGTGTCGTGGACGCAGGCTTGGTGGACCGTGTAGAGATGGAGACTCTGTGAGGCGTCCGTCTGCAGGGTGACGAGGTCGGGCCTGCTCGAGGCAGTGCAGCAAGTCGGTCGCTCACCCGACCTTCTGATCTCCGAGTCGCGTCCATGCGCGTGCATTATTGAGAGCTCATTTAACGTTTTATAATTTTAAGGATTACATTTTAGTTTGTACTTTGCACTCGCGATTTCTACATTAAAAAGGCGTTTTTACATAGGAAGGCCTTGCTGAGTCTTAAGACTCAATTTCAGGAGGGTCCTGCCCAGGGCTTATTTATGGCCAATTCTGCAGGACTTCTCACCCATGTATGGCTATGAGATGACCAGCAGGTGGTAGTACAGCAAGTAGGCTGATGGTCATCCTGGACTGGTTCTGAGCAGTGCTGCTGAGACTAGGGTGTTCTCAAGGTACTGTTTATTCACGGTAACGTTTTTTGGGTTAGATCGCGTAAATGTGACTGCGTCGTACACCCAACACCACCCGGCACGGCCTATCGGTAAGGTTTGTCACGTGAACAAAACGTGCCAATTGGTTACTACTTCAGCACACCACACGGCTGTGCGTTAACAAACCCACAACATCTACAAACGAGTTCGACGTTTCGCCGGTGATCACAACAACGGCATCATCAGGCGATGGCCAGAATTAATCGTGAATAATTGGCCGCGAAAGCCGACGTGTTGAAAAGGTTTTGGTTTAATTAAACACGTTGAGTCTTGATCCAAAACAAGTCCTTGTGCGGTTGAACCTCAGGACTATTTCCCAAGGCAGGCCACGCTTTGTCACGCCTGTCGGCTCTCCGTTTGGTTGGCCATGTGGGAAGGAGCCAGACCAACCGCCGGACATCCTGAGTCTACACTGATAGGGTGACCTGCTTTCTGTACTACCGCCTTACACGTGTATTCCACCAAAGATGTCTCTTTTAAATCAATATATAAATAGGTATTTTTAGGACTCGTTCCAAATGATATTGCAGCAGCAAGTTTAGAGGCTATATTAATAAATATTAGAGTTAGTGTTCCTGAATGGCAATCATCTGCATACGGAGATGTGTTTTTACATACCTAAATATCTGTGCATACCTGTACTCACCGGTAACGCCTGCCATGCTGAGTCGTTGGTGTTTTGGGTCGGGTTGCGTCAGTAGAATGTGTGTTGTACACCCCTCCTCCGCCCAACACGGCCCCAACACTGGACGACATTTTTGCAATTCTGGCAACTGCGTGATGGTACCGGCTGTAACTACCAGCGAAACGTCCGCACACAAATCGCTCAATGTGTGTGGCTCACTCTCCAACAACACATCGCGTGACAACTTTACGAATTGTCTGTGTCCCGTGGAGGAGGGTGCGCTCACTTAACACAATGCTGCTTATTCGCACCGTATGTCACAGTTGGTGACATACGGTGGGAAAGAAGTTAACCATGCAAACATACGACACAAAATGTATTACGAATCATTGTACTGGTGGAGACAGCCAAGGCGTTAATCCCACAATCCCACTCCTGGTTTGGTGTTTGCCTCTGCTGTCTCCTGAGTCCGCGTGGAAGCAGCAACCGGTGATGAAGGTGTTCACGCGCAGTGACACCCGATTACGCGGTTGAAATATTAATTTTGATCAAGGCTGCGATAACCTCAAATGTAAATATATTAATGTCCGATAAATTACCCTCATCCTTATAAACCAAGAGATGCCTTTGAATGCTGGTGCCAAATAAATAAGCATCGCTTTGTGTTGTAGGGGGAGGCAGCTTTATGAAAATGAAGCAATAACAGTTGTGTTCCATTTAAATACGAATCAGAAACAATCAACACGTGCAACGAACTTGGAACAAAAGCTGACGGTTGCACAGAGAAGCGTGGAGAGGAGATTCGCGCTTGGGATATTACGCTGAGCCTCAGACAAAAGGGACACGTGGATCGCGGAACGAACAGAAATCGTGAGACGTCACATTGGCAATCAAACGGGGCTTGGGCCAGACGCATCGCTGGGTGGGATGAGGGCCGGTGGGAGAGACTGGTGACGGAACGACAGCCAAAGGAGGGAGCGTGACCAAGGGGACGATCCCCTGCGGAGATCGGTTCACTTGGAGGATCCTTGTCCCCAGGGCCTTGTCTGGCGCCTTGTTGTTTGGCCCTGAGCAGGGCCGCTGGCGTGGCTTCGTGTTGCTGTTGCTGTGGAGGCCGGGAGATCGAAGATCGATGTTCGGTCGCCGCGTCGGAGGTATTCGTCGCGGCGTCTCGCGCGACAACGGAGCGGGGCCACGCGGAGGCCGCTGACGTCTTCCACGCCCCGCTGCGGAGATGGAGCGATGAGATGAGTTTGCGTGCAGGAGCGAGATGGGTGGTGATGATGTGGGGAGGCCTTCATCCAGCAGTGGATAGACAATGGGTGGTGGTGAATGGTTCTTAAGGTCACAAATTAGCGTGCCTAGGCAAGGGATGGTTTGAATACTGGTGCCAAATAAAAACCATTGTCTTGTGTGGTGAAGACGGTGATAGTCGAACAGTGCTAATTTCCAGAATAGTCATCGAATTGTTATACAATCATCTATTGCGTGATGAAGATAACGGTAGGAGTTTAACTTTTTATTTGTGATTTTTAATCTCTATGCAAATACAACTTTGAGTCTCGTTATTTTTCGCTTTACCAACCTGTTCATTGCCATCACAGTATACGTTTATCACTACAGACTCTGTATATGGTATATACCAAAGTATATTTTCAAGGTTACATTGATGATGTACTAGTATTATTGTTAATGTACCAATGTTAACTGTTTCAAATGTGGACCATTTTGTAAGCTACATTACTGACCAATTAGCTACATTGCAATCGTGATGGATATTTGTGCAGCTTAAACGGTTTGCGTTGTGTCATATGTGCGTTTTCTTATGCTTTTGATCGTTTATAATCTAAAGCTTCGCATTAATAACGGTGTAGTATGTTAACAGCCATATCGCTTTAAATGTGGATCAATTAAAGGCTGCAGTTAACACTACTGAGCGTACTGATGTAAAATATAGTTCAATAAATTTGAGGATGATGGCATTGCTGTGTGTGTGTGTAGAGGCTGATATCATAAATCGTTGGCTCCAACTGTGAATTTGCCATTCCAGCCGGCACATTATAGGTGTAACAAAGACAACGTGGGCTCCCTTGCCTGCTTGACACCGCGTTGTCCTATTATGTGTGGGTTTTTTTTCGCTTCTGTGCTGTTATCAAGCTCTCTGATGTGTGTGTGTGTTTGGGTTGTACACACTCTGAGCCATTGATGGACATTGCACGTTCGTATGACAGTGGCCAGACTTTCCATGGGAAAATCACTGTTGATGTCCTCCATAATAAAAGGCCTTATTTACCCTGGCAGAACTTTTGCTCCCGATGTTGATGTAGGGAAACGGTTATCATTTTTACTTTGAGGCGGTTGAGGCGGGTTATTGAGTCGGCAGTAGGCGGAGTGGTGAATCATCGCTGCTGCGACGACGACGAAGATGCCTCCTCCTTCGCGTTTGTGAATCGGGCACCAAGTTGATACGGGTTGTGGGTGACCACGGTCGTACACCGGTGATTTTAATATTCATTTGTTTTCATTTAAAGAATGGAGAGTGCGTTGAGACAAGTCCCGGACTTGCACTCGCAAACCTTCTGGTTGTACGTGACACGTGCTGAGTTTACCCCAAAGAGAGAGAAAGAGCGAGAGAGCGAAGACGCATGTGTAAACAGTTTTCAGTTGGTAAATGGCACAGAAGAACGTTGTATTATGCAGAAGCATAATCCGATCAGCGCCAGTCAACGACGACTGTGTAAACCACCTATTGTGATTTGTGGTTTGCCAAAACGGAGCCGATAACAAACAATAATCCCGTCAATTAAAACGACGTGGACTCGACGGGTTTCCGAGCAGAGGGAAATATTTAATAACAAAAAGACAGCGTGCTCGAAATGGATTTTGTTAATAAACATTGCTCGGGAATTAACTTTTTGTTGGCAGATTAGCAAAAAAACCCATGCCAAGTGTGTGTGTGTGTTTAAACGACTACACCCATGTTGCATTAGAGGATGGATTAGCCTCACGTGTGATAATTACGCATTGTGGAGACCGATTTAATTTATTCATCTAATCGTCCTCGCGGTGCATCTGGTCAGAGAATTGAGTTCTTGTGAAATCTGGCAGCTCTCCATTTAATTATAGCACGAACAACAAGCGAGCAGGCCAGTCTGTTAACGTCGCCTCAACATTGCGTTGGGCTGTTCAACACCGGCGCACTCTCTCGTACACCGGTGCCTCTACTGTTACGGAAATTCCGCAACCCTCGGCGTCGTTTCGTCGTCGCCGCAATGTTCGAGCGCGGCGTTCGTCACCTTCGCCAACTCGAACGTGCCGGCCACAGAGTGAAGTGCGAGATCGCACGCGCAGCGCTTCTGCGCATCCCACAAGCGGCTTCCTCTATTCTTCTTGGAAAAGTGGTTTGCATGGAGAATTCCAAATGTCCGTTTCTTAGAAGCCATTAGTGCCTCGTGATTTGAGTTAATAGGACGCGCCAGCCAGACTTTATCAGCGCCCATTTGTTGCCACTTATAGCACTGAGCCTTTTTTAGTCGAGCAAACCGCGTCGAGGCATCACTGATGCTTCGGGTGTTTGTGCCTGGTTGAGAGTGGCTGAGAGAATGATGTAAACTCTTAAGGACGCTCTCGAAATGTCGACAACTTATATTTCAGTCTAAAATCTTGATATAAAAAAATACAATATTGATGCTAAAACATTAGATGTTGGGCTCTCCAAGATGTAGCTGTTGCTTTTGTACCTTTTGGTTTATGAACCCTAACCTCCAAAAGTTTGTGCCTAGAGAGTTTTTCTAATAAATATCGAATTACAAATGTGACTACAATTTAATGAAAATGGGAACATTTGTATAAATTTTGGGCCCTTCAAATGTTGGGGAAAATAATGTTAACAATGACATTTTCAACCCAGCCATCGCTGTGATTATCACTAGAATTGTAGTGTCTCCACACACACACTCAACTGTGTTGTAGTCTATCGGCCTTTCGGCTTTTGCATTACCACTATTACCTAAGAGCATTCATTTAAGTGAGCGAACTCCGGAACGGTTTTCACCTTCTGGGTCCCATCAGCAGAGTCAGCTGGTTTAAACAAATCTGCTGGATCACCTGATGTCGTGGACAAGATCACTCCGTCTAAACTGTGGGACCCCGTTCGAATGGATAAAAGCCCAAAACGAAAAGCAATGAGTTTGTGGAGGGGCTTGAAGAGTGCTGAATCAAAACATGACATCAGATTTTCAAGTCCAAAAAACCCACATTTCTGTATTCAGGACCCCAACAATGTGGAGGCGAATGTGTCCGAAGCTATTATATTTAAACGTATATGTCTGTGGGTTTTAACCATGTTGAATAAATATGTAGCATCACATGTTTTGGGGTACCTTTTGGAAAAGTACGGCACGAAAGCTGGTATGTAGAGCTGTAGGCCTTGTGGAGTTTCAAGTTCCCCAACAGGAAGGACACGTATATTTAAATACATATATACGATATATATTCATCTCTATGGTCACTGAGCAATCCCAAATGTGTTGGGCTAAGAGACCATGACGAATTGGAGAACCACCTTCACTCTCCACCCGGCACAACTTGCGATGTTTCATCCACCAGATAGGCTTTTCGTTGTTTTAAGCGTCACTCAACCTTGTGTTCAGCTCCCTTCTGTCCAGCCGAACAAGAGCTGCCAGGGCATGAAATATCTGGGTTGGCCTCCCTGCTGCACACTGAGATACCACATTGAGGAGCGTTATCTGCAGTCGTGTTTATGAGATGAGTAATTTGGCTCAAATATTTAAGCAGTTTGAGGAAACACAGACCACCAGCCCATGCATTTTTGGAATGCATTTCATACAGATAAAGGCAGTTCGCCTTAGCAACCGGGGCAGTGATTGTAGAAACAAGCCACGTGTTACAAGGTTACTTATGCCACCTTGTCAACTGTTGCTTAGGGCTTGTCATAAGAATCAAAGCCACGCAATGGTAAGAATAAAACAAACGCAAGCAGCTGCTCCCAGGCCTGGCAAGGAACGTCCCACCCATTACTCTGAGAATTATCACCACTTCGATCGAGCACGGGAAGCACTCGTTCCGTCATTGTTAGCGTCGCGGTGGACGTAAGGATGCGTGTGCAGGCCCCGTTTGTCATTCCACTGCTGGATGAGGGCCCCTCCACAACCGAGTGGGCCCTGGGGGTTATTTGGCCACGCTTCACTCGTGTGCGCATTGGTGAAGGCACGGGGCATCGATGCGTGATCGTAGAAGTACAATACAACTGACTTTAGGAGTCAACGGTGCCGTTCTATTGAGCGACGTTCTTCATCGCAAGGCCCGCGGGCCCCTGATGGCCCCTGGTGGCCTTTAGTGCGGCCCCCGACACTACACACAGAGTGACAACACCCCCCATCATCATCGTCGTCGTCGTGCTGCTGTCAAACCCACAATGTTTCAAATGTGTCGCGGCCCTCACACTGATGACGTCTTATCGCGATAGTGGCCCTCTCTGAAAATAAGTGGAGAACACTGTGCTCAAGAGGGATCTTCTCCTGATGTGAACAGTTCATGCGCAGATGCTGGATTGATTGTGTATTAAGTTATTTTTATGCTTGTTTACCCAGGAAAGCATTGGGCTTTCCTGGGTAAACAAGACTCAAAACAGCGTTGTTGTCGAGAAACTACTTCAACGTGTGATCAATGCGCACTCGTGGTGGGTACTGGACTCTTTAAGAGTACGCAATAACAAATGTTCCTACACACCGATTGGCCGCCACGAGTCACATCGTTGTACACATGGATTGTTGCATCTTCGGGCCGTGCAAGCTGCCACCTCCAGCATGGGGACGGCCTTCACCCAGCAGTGGATTGATCATGGCCGATGACGCTGATAATCCCGAATTGGTACCGTATTGCACACGTGCGCGCACACTCGCACATCTCAGTAGGGCTGAACGATTAATCGATTTCAAATCGAAATCGCAATTTGAAACAATTGCGATTCGCAAATCGCAAAGGCATTGTTTTCGCAAAATCGTTTTATTTATTATTATTATATGTATTTTACTTAACAATTGTTCTATGTTTGATTGTTCTATTTCAATTAAAACATTTTAATAAATACAGGTTGGAAGCAATTCAAATCTTTTAAGTTCTCATCCTTGCATGAGCATATGTAGGTCAGTTCATATTTTGATGATATCATGTGGTAATGCTCCATCACAAGTTTTAAATCTATAACACAGTGAAAATTTAATTGAAGCTTGACTTTAAATAATGTAATCGCAAATCAGATCGCAATCGTAATCTGTCAGAAAAATCGCAATTAGATATTTTCCCCAAATCGCTCAGCCCTCCATCCCAGGCCACACGTGGCGGCAGCAGCGGCAGGGCAAGAGGACCCTCAAGACGCGGGTATCGATCACTCGCAAATCTCCCGCTACGTCCGGGGGACTTAGCGATGCCACGCAGTTGTAGAGCCTCCCGTGCTCATGCGGCTGCCATCAGCGAGCTCTCGCACCGCTGACTCGATGTGCGACGATAGATGCAGCTAATTCCTCCTAAAGCCCCCTGTGTGGCTTCTTGTCGTGGTGTTTCCCACTATTCCGCCTCCTGGCGTGGGCCCTCTGCCTCGGCACGCTGCGAGCCCGTGGCCCCGGCCGTCGACTGCGCGCCGCTGTGGCCGCGTCCCACGGCGCTCCCGGGCGCTCATTCCGCCTCTCTCGCTGCGGTCAGCGCGAAGGTGAAGGCGCAGCTCTGAGAACTCTCCCTCGTGCCGCTTGCCGGCGGAAGGGGCCTCCGCTAGAGGGCGCCATAGACAGCCCCTCTTCCACGCTGACCAGACGCCGTAGGACTGTGTATGTTGGACTTCGTTCGCACCGTACGTAGCCAACGGTGCTAATCGGAGGCGCAGGGGAAGGACAACAAAATAAGTACACGCGCGGCAGAGCGGTGTATTTGGCCAACTCTTCCACGCTTGTAAGTGCTGGGGAGTACCCCCACTTTACCCAACGCACGTGACCTGCTGATTGATCTTCTGGCATGTGCGGGTTGCTGTTCGAAGCTCTTGCCCCCGTTGTTGGGACTGCCGCGCCGGGAGATCGAACGGGCGCCCAGCTGCGACGCAAGCTCAGTGTTAGCTGGCCCCTGCACCGCTGTGGCAGCCTCCCGCACTCGGCATGCCTCCAGTGGAATCGAGCGAGAGCCATCGAGCGAGGATTCAACTTCGGTTGTGCTTCAGAGAGGCTGCCCTCCGCTGACGCTACACACAGTGCCGGATTCAGCTAGTGCGGTGCCTGTAGCATCTGTT